TGTCCTAATTGGCAACAGTGGTAGGGCTGCATTATTATGTTAGGTCTGTCGTCTGTGTCTAGGCCTAGTCCTACCACCATACACCATCATTACTCATTTAGTCGAAAAGTGGCAGTGAATCGAGTTGGTTTGTGCCTAGGGTTTGTCGGATTGTAAGTCACGTACATTTATTATGGGTTTGCATTTGTGCGAGTATTTGACAGTGTATAATATTGTCTACTTAAAATCTATGGGTAAGAAGAAAGTTACAAATAATCATCACAATTACTTTCAACATTTATTTTAATTATTCCAGATTAAGGACAACTCAGAATGAAACATTTTGAAAGTGAAGCTGTGAAATGTAAAAAATCGATAGAAAAAAATAAATATATTGATAAATTACCGAAGCTGACCCAGTTTTTTATTAATGCAAAGTCTGCATCTACCTGTATGTTCTACCAGTAATCCAACAATACCCCTGAAGTTAAAGGACAGAGGCAGCGATAAACTGACTATTTAAGTTTACAAGAAGAAACAAGACCTACTGAATTAAGCACAATATGGTTAAGTCAGGTTATATAATATACAATATGGTTAAGTCAGGTTATGGACGTTTCAAATATTTTTCCTGAAAGTACAGATCCAGGGCTGTGGTCTTCATATATCGACAAGAATTTACAGTAGTAAGGTCCATCACTTTTTTCCAACAAACAAACATTTTGAAAAATCAGCACGTATATACAACGAACAAAATGATAAAAATAAAATACATTCTGCGATGTTGTTTAAGAAAGAGTTACCTAATGGTGAAGCCACAAATGGCTAATATATTCTCCGTCACGGAAAAGTATACTGTTTCATATCTAAATTGTTTTCATCTACCAATTTTACATTCAGCATTAGCCGATTTAATGACTGTAAGCATGCAAATACTGTTACTTCACAACATGAAAACTCACCTGAACACAGAAGTGTATGATAAGCTACCACAGTTGTTTATCTAGTTGTGTAGATAGCCAACTATTTAGCAAGGGTCTGTTTTCGACTAATGTTGTTTGAAATACAGAGCCATCGAAACTGGTTATGTGCTGGCTTCAAGCATCTGCTCTAAAAGCCATCTTAAGATTCTGTAGGATGTATTGCTTTACATTGGACATATCATGTCATCAAAAAGTCTCATTCATTCAGACTTGCCGTATCTTTGCCACTGTTGCATTGTTGTTTCACAAAATTTGCATTGTTGCATCACAAAATCTGCAACTTCTGAAATGCTTGTATTCTTGCCTGATCATAATACCTTTTATCCAATCGCGTAATTTGTACCTAACAGTTGCTGTTTCCAGCTTGTTCACGTATGGTGAAATCCATCTTATATGCTTGTGATGTGTAATGTCTGGTTACACATTTGTTGTTAGTCATAATAATGTGGCTCTACTTTCTGCATCCAGATGTTGGGTAAATAAGTGTATTTAGACAGATTTATTAAACAGATTTAAATGTGTAAGTAGATCATATTTAAATTAAATTCCGTGTTTTCTTGAAATTTAATTGCCTTAAATTCCGAATTTGGCTGATTGAATTCTTTCTTTAAATTCTAGGTTTTTCATTTTTATGGATGTGTATATTAACCGTTCCGATTTTGAAATTTTCACATAATTTCGAATTTCAACTATTACGAACATACCGTATATTCAGGCATTCAACGCGGACTTTTAATACAAAAATTAAGATCGCAATTTACGTATGCGTGTTATACGCCGGATATAAAAATATGAGATTTAAAAATAAGTATACAAAAATTGGGTTTCTACATGTACCTAAATGCAGTTTATTTAAAAGAAGTGACATGTTTTACGATTTTAAAAATTTATATTATCGGATAACATGTGGCGTTTGTGATATTCTTCTTCCATTATACCTTCAGGCACATCATCGAATTCTGTTTAATCTACACTATCACAGTTACTTTTATCCATAAATAAATAATCATCCTCCATTCCATCTAGGTTGTCAGATGTTATGTCGAGTTTACTTTCATTTCACCGCTCACGCAGATTTCTAGACAGGCTTGACGCATTTATAGCCTCCTTTTGCATTTTTTTTTAACCTTTAATATTCATGAACTAATGGCGTTAATCCGCCTGGAATAACTGCTATGTCTATATTACACTGTCAATAATTTGTGCCCATTATTCGTTAGATAGAAGTTGAACATGCCCCAAATTAAAAGACTTTCTGGATTCTTTAAGACAAGAGAACGCTTTTGCTAAACAATTCTTTGCCACAATTTCACACCGTTTTGGTCCATCCATCCTTTCTCGTGAACAGGAATCAAAACTCTTTTTTGGGTAGTTGCATTTTGGCATTGTTTTTGTTTTTGTTTTCTCTTTTCCCCTTCTTTATTTTAATAACCATGAGTTTAAATTTTTTTATCGTCCGCTAAGGCGGAAAGTGCTTCGTTGAGGTGAGGTTTTTCATGACCTGTTGCATTTATGTGAACCGTTTTTGTTCCTTTCACTGTTGTTTCACCAATTGTTTTATTTCCTATCATATCAACATTACTGAAGTTTCATCCATATTTCCAAAATATAAGAGCAAATAATTTTTCTTGCCGCAAACATACTTGTGGAAACGTATTAATTTGTTGTTCAAAGCTTTCGGAAATTTTTGCGAAATTTCTTTTTTTTTCCCTCGTAGAACTAAATTATTCCGTGCCATAAATCGACTATACCAACTCAAAGTTGCGTTAAAGTTTTCACTTTGGTTTGCATTTTTTTTTTCCACTTTAAGGCAAATAAATGTGCCTTGTTTCTTGTTGCAATTAATCCATTTCGGCGATTTTCCGGGACCCAGTTCGCAACACTTTCTTCTAGGATAGGCCATTTTTGTTACTTCTTTATGCAATGCAGATATATTGTTTGTCACATTAATTATTGTGATTTCACTTTTCTTCCACTTGCGTATAGAGCTTTCACCAACATCAAATATGCTTGCTGCAGGCAGTGGCGTAGCGGGGGGGGGGCACGAGGGTGTATGATGCCCCGGGCGCCGCTCGCAGAGGGGTGCCAAATGGCCTCAACAGATTTTCGGGAAATTTCAGTTTTATTTGATCGATTTCTGGAAAATATATTAAATTAATAACTATTGTAATATAATTACTTACTTATTTTTCGGTTTGTCTGATAAAATGTTAATAAATATGCAGTACATACCAAAATCTCGCATCAAGCGTTCTTTTGCCCACTCTTTTTCACTAACTCTCTATTTTTTTTAAACGAATGCACATATAGCTCACCCTTTTTATTTTAAAACGATAACACGACCTTGTCCGAATTTCTCAAACATATCCAGTTTCCAAAAATGATTCCAAAGTCTGGAAATGACATTTTGGGAAACTTCTAAAGCTTTCGCTGCAATGGATTTCGTTTGACTCTCCTGCAAACGACTGATGGCCTTCCTGACTACCGAGTCAACTAAGTTATCTTGCTGAGACATCGTAAAATCACTGCTACAAAGCATTCAACGCGTGTCAGTTCTTTTTAATCTCCTACTGCAAAAGGAATGCTGCAGGTCCTTAATCCTTACCTAAAACGCATAGTTTTCGATTTCACACACTAAAGTTGCATATTACCAAATTTGTAAACGTTATAACTTTCATCTCTATTTCGTGGTCTTATATTTCCTTTTGTTAAAAAGTTTGTCGATTATATGGTTATTTCACACCGAACTCACAATATCCCCTTATTGTTTTGAGCAGTGACTGTACTCCGCAGTAGAAAAGAAACTGATCCTAAAAACTCCACAGATCTATGGAGAAAATGTTTTTCCAAACCTCTGTAAGTGCTTTTTTTTCGGGGGGGGGCGCCAGTTATGCTTGCTACGCCACTGGCTACAGCTGGATTTCCATTTTCTTTCACAAACTGAATGGCTTTGCATTTGAAATCACCACTGTGTGTGTTTCATTTGGCAGGAGCCTTGTTCACTTCTAAAAGGAAAAAGATCAACTGTAATTCAACTAAACTGCGGTTTACTAAAGCCTCCGATGTTCACCTCAAAATCACGGTTTCAAACTGCTACAGAAGGAGAAAACATCCGGCTCCTAATTCCGCTAATTCATTTATATCGAAAGTACATTTTGTGTGCTCTTTGCAGAATTATTTATTTCCCGAAGCATTCCCTCCTCCCCATACACATATATTGTTCCCCTTATAACGTGTCAGTTCAGAATAACATTGTTAGAAAGCCCTGGAAAAATCTTCGAATAAATGACTTCAAAATATAAGTGCATTGCACATATATCTTTCAGGTTTCTTGGTAAAGAAAACTGTGCGCATTATACGACGATTGTACCTAAAAAATTTTTTAAAGTAGTTTGAAATTATAGGTGCGTGGTTTATGCGCCGTAATATATGGTAACTTACATAATTCTAAAATCAGCCTTTAGAAATGTGCGACAGTAAAGGATATCACGTAAATGTTTTATTCAAATTGTGAATTGCTGATTGTACATTACATAATGTCAATTTTCTGCATGTACTCTTACCATCACTGCATGGAGTTCTACCACATGGTGATGATAATGGTGGTGGTGGTCCTTTGCAAGCGTTGAACGGAGCTGGCTCTTGACTTCCGTTCCATATGCATTGTACACTACGGCTGCGAAATCCTCTATATCCACAACTTGCTGTGCACTAGAAAAAATGTAAAGAATATATTGCAACTTCCATGTATAGCAAAATGCAAGAAGCAATTACATACAGTACCTTTGTTAACAGACGCTGTTCGTTAGTGATTATTTCGCGCTAATGGACAGTTTCTGAATCTCCGGTCCCTTGAAGCTGAAGACCAGCATACTCCTGTCTAGCCTATAATCATTAATAATGAACTCTTATCCTTAGCCCTGTGAGTGTCCGCTAACGGGAAGTTCGATTGTCTAATTTTAAAATATTTAAATATTTATCAGATATATAATCAAAATTTAAAAAAAATACTGTGTTTCTTCTGACTATAAACGTCTAAGAAACAAAACAAGGAACTGGATAAGGTCAAAAGTAAGACCCAATAAAATGCAGCTTTCAGCGATTACTGCTGCTAAGATTAATTTATCAGATTGAAACGGATTAACTGCGCCTTTATGTGTGCGCTCACCGAAACTACCAGTAACACGATAACATATATGGATCTGGAAGTCAACTACATGTTTTACATTTTACTTTATCAACTGAAATAAAGCTGTGGAACTAAGTACGGGATGTGCGTTTACATTCACAACAGCCTTGAAAATGACCTTTCCTAAATTTTTGAACCCCTGAAATGCTGTGCCTTAGGTAAAACATCTTCGACATGTACTTATTGCAACATTTCATATCTTTTGTAGCAGATTTTGGAAACCGTTGCAAAGCTTCCAACACTGCATATTAATTATCACGAACGTATTGCATTTTCAGTAAGCGGAAAAGAACTCATTGCGTATTTGTGTCTTAAATTAAGATTTACTGAGTTTTGCTCCTAAATTAATATATCCGAGCTATTCGCGAAGGTTTATTTCGTTGTCGTGTATCGTATGCGTGTTGAAAAATAAATCAGTATTTTTTTACTAGTGTGTATATTACTTTTTTGTTTAATATATTTTCGTTCGTTAGTTTCTTTATTATCTAAATATCATCGTAATGAACGTAAAGTTATAAAGAGCAAAATTAGTAATTCGACAAATCTAGCCAATAAATGCTATTTAAATGTAGCTGCTCAATGAGCAGATTCAAAAGCATGCCTTGTCGAAGAATATCGCATTCATACCAGTTGGTTTCTATTTTGATCATAAGAAACTTGCGGCATATGGACATGCAGAAGTGTGTAATGTTCCTTCTGAAGAAAAGGGTACTTGTATGAGTGGAATATGGAATCGATTGATTGAAGAGATACGAAATCACTGACATGAAGGCTAACGACTGACTGCCTTACCATACTCTCGAAAGAGTCATTTTGTGCACATCACCATTACAGATCATTGTCACATTATAAATTTTATTTACACAGCGACCAACAGGTACACTTCGACATCTCCTGTAGTGTTGTGGATTCCCTCCCCAAAACACTCAGTGCATTTGTTGTATTCGATTGTGTACTGTTTGCGATAGAGAAGTGTGCCTAGAATGTCGTGAATGGAGAGATGAATGGCATAACATCGTTTCTTAGTAGATTGTTCCTTCTGCCTGAAATTCTAGAATGCTCGCATTAGTGTCCGGTGGTACCTAGGTCCGGTTTGAGGAAGTTCATCATTACGCATCGCCATACCAATTGATGTGTAGGGTGCTATTATTTCTAGCTGCTGTTGGATCCAATTATGCATCCTTGGTATGTTGAACATTTCTGTGAGGATTGAGTCAATTATTTTCGCATCAGAGTTCTCGAAGCCAGTTTCTAGCAAGACATTCCGATGTGTAATTGCATTATGACATGAAACGACCAATAGTATATGGATATCCAAAATGTTAAAATTCTTACTTGGTCTACTCGTTCAGGGGTCTGTCACCCATTGCATACGTCTAATGTATTGCATTACGTCTAATGTATAATCGCAGAACAGTTTAGCATAATTTAAAATACTTGAATCTAGTGCAGATGAATTTTGTTCTGAATTAAGAAAGTCTGGAGGTCTTAGACACAGCGGTTTTTAATGGACTCCCACTTTCCTTGTTTATCTGATGGAAAAACCGTGATGAGCCATTCCATAATGATTTGAAGACTATCTAAAATCTGGAGTCCTATGTCTGTGACTTGTAAGTCTAACATGTAATAAGGCACTGCCTGCAGCTGCACTGTTATTGATGTGCACAATGTTTCATGCAATACTAATTTGGAATTCGAAGGGATTTGTAATGTTTCGGCACTTTCTTTACCTTATGTGTTAACTTAGATTTAATAATTCTTGCTTTCTTAATGTTTCACTTTTGATGGCGAGCAGTATATTTTTTCAATAAAATCCGAATAGATTCTTACCTCAGACCATTGACTAACTCGCCAGACTCCTTGGCAATTCGAATTGAAACACTCACGTTTCCTTCTAGGCCGCTTTCTACTATCACAGTGACTCGGTGTAAGAGTCTCATTGGCCAGACCACAGAGAACACTTCTTTTCTGGTAAGCGGTATTCCACGATAGACAGTTTTTTGTGCTACACTGTAATGGGAAAAAAAGCATGTAATGTTGATTCATATTAATCCGTATCTGCATACATAAATTAATTAATTCGGAAATACATACATGAATTTATTATCAGGGAACTTAAATTCCTTAATTCTCGCAATGAATTAACCATCTTTAGTTCTCTTGTGTACTTGTGTCAAAACAAAGTAATAAATAAATAAATGTGTAGTTTGTAAAATAAAGATTCTTATATTCCATATAAATTTCTTTTCTGTAGAAAGAAGAACTGGAAGATTTTTTCCAATTCTTCTTTCTACAGAATCAGAATATCAGAAGTGATTTTGTTGCATGAATATATAGTGATATTTCATCATAAAATTTTAAAATATCACCTTTATGGTATCAGTAGCGTAGCTACAGAGCAACTCGGTCTGCCCTTTGCTGCACATTTTTCTTCTTATGTTAAACATAATACACTGACTACCAATAAGTATATGGACACCTATGCAAATAACGATATCTGCGGTCCTAAGGTACGTCAGAGGCTCCGCCGGTATATATCGTGTAGGAAACAGCATCGGCTTAGCGCATGCAAAGAGTCGAGTCGAGCTCTCTGATTTCGAGAAAGGTATAATTATAGGGTATACAAATGTGGCCGTCATCAAAGGCATATTAGCGATTGAATAACCAAATCGACAGTGGCCAGTGATTAAGAAGGGAAGGGAGCGGTGATTGCGGATGTGCCCCGAGTGCAGACAACGAAACTGGGAGATAGAGACGACGAGTGCTGTCCGAGAAATCGGAAGACCGCGCCCAACCATGGCCTCATCGCGAGGAGTGGCAAAAGGCATCCGGGATTGTTTCAATGAAACCATCCGCAGGAGCACATTGCTTGGTTTCATGGTCGCTGCTGCCATAAGCCTTTGACACAAGTCCAACCGCGCTGCTCGTTAATGTGGTGCAAAGCCCTCGAAAGTGGAAAGTAGATCAGTGGAACGGGTTTTTGGATTGATTAAGGTTAACCTTTACTTCGGATGAGGTCTGGGTCTGGCTTACTGGGAACGTCTCTGCCAGAATGCTTGGCCAAAAGTCCATTCGGCGGAAGGGGAATATGGCCGGGGGTGTTTCTCCTGGTAGGGCTGGTGACCCTTGGCCTCATCATAGTAATATCAACTCCGATGCATACTGAATAGTTGGAGCAATGGGCTTATACGTTGTGGCAGTTTACGGGTGGATCATGTTACTTTCAGGACGCAATGCGTTGTCGTTTAGACGTTAACCAAGGATTGGTATGGTGCCAAGTTTCATTAATGGAATGCTTCCCAGAGTCCAGACTGAACAATATCGAGAAGTCTGGACGATTGCATCGCCATTCAGGTGCACTACCCGTGCAAAATGGTGAAGGAACTTCTATGTCTTCCCAGCCGAGTGGAAGAATACACTAGTGTCATACAAGAATTGTGGCCGTATGTCCCAGTCCAGGGGGTCCACGCTGTAATTAACTTCGTAAGGCTCTCCCAACGATGATTTGAATAAAGGTAGTTTTTCTTCTATCACAGGGTCAAACCTATTGGTAGTCAGTTGTTATAACGATTAATAGGGATATCGTAGAAAAAAAGATTGAGAATTTTTGTGTTATTTCAAAGCTCACATTTATCTTCCTAAATCTCCCCATTTCCAATACTAAGGGCTTGAAAAGGGAACTGCTATGTAATATACTGTATAGATACCCTGAGAATGCGCTTGCAACCAGTCTGTTTAGAATTTGAACCTTGCACGAAGTCGCATTTAGGGTCTTAATCACTTATTCACTAGTGAAGCAAAAAATGACGAAATGTGCACGTTCATTATATTTACCAATTTGAATAGGTGCTCTACCAAAATGCATGGGCGCAAATGTTGGTACACAATGGAAGTAATAATGGTCCGTGTCGCCTTCCTCTCCGCATTCGCAGAAAGGAGTATCCCTAAGTCTGAATCTGTTCAGGTATACTGGGAATGGTCCATGACCTGTCAAAAACTGTGTTAGGCTAGCGCAGTGGGTCTTTAGTTCCATGTTAACTTTTGGCAGTAAGCGAAATGTCCTTCGTCCTACCTCTGCCTCTGTCCATCTACTTTGCCAATTTTGTAGCTGACTTGTCAAAGTTGTTCTCTTAATATGAGACCAAGGAAGTTTAATTGGTCTTTCTAATATATCCGTGCAGTTGGCTGCCTGCTTGGTCAGTAGGTCAGCGGCTTCATTGCCTTGAATCCCTGTGTGAGCAGGAACCCATTTTAAAGTGGGTCTTTGCGAAATAGGCATTGTCAGAAGCTGTTTCTGAATTCTGTATACCAATGGACTCCGGCTGTTTTGACTTGCGATAGCCGCCAGACTTGATGCCGAATCACTGAGTATGAAGAATTTCTCCTGTTGACATGTGTTCGCATATCTAATTGCAGCACTGATAGCTAGAAGCTCTGCTTGGTATACGAGTTGTTCGAGCCTAATTTCCTTTTCCACTCGAAAATGTTACAACTCCATTTCTAGTCTACAAAAGGCGCTGCCCGTGCCGTCTCAGTTTTGGAGCCATCTGTGAAAAGGTTATTACTGTACCTCTGAATTGGTTGGTCGTTTATACTGATACCGTCAGAGAGATTAAAAGCTGCTGGATGAAAGTTATTGCAGTTGTTTTGATCCTCGTAGTCCGAGTGGTGATAACTATGGACCCCAGAGTGTTGAAGTTTGACCCAGCCTGGTAACCCTTACGATAGCTGCCTCCCTTTCTACTATCAAATCTAGGGGAGGAATTCCTGCTAGTTGTTGTAGGGTAGTGTTGACGTGGTACGGTAGGCTTTTTTTTTTTTTTTTTTTTTTTTTTTTTTTTTTTTTTTTTTTTTTTTTTTTTTTTTTTTTTTTTATTTTTTGCTGTGTGTCTCTGAAGAGAGCAGGATCTTTTCATATGAGAGGTAAGTTCGCCACCCAGATTGCTGCTCCATAAGCTATTACTCTTTCTGTAATGGTTCTATGCCAAATTTTTAGTAGCTTAGATGAGATACCCCATTTATGTGAAGTCATGCGTCTCATGTTGTTGCTTAGGATGCTAATTCGAGTCTTAAGATTCCTGACATGTGGCATCCAAGAAAGTCTGTTGTCGAGTAATAGCCCAAGATATTTCAATTGGGGAAACATTTTACCGGTATCCCATGGAGTTTAATGCTTGGGTTGCGTCTTAGCTGCCTGCTACGTCCTATGAGCAAAGCTTTAGTTTTCTCTGCCGAAATCTGAAGCTTATGTGCTCTGGCCCATTGGGAGAACAGATCAAGACAGTATTGAGATCTCATTTCGAGGTTACTCCTTCCTGCCACAACAAGCATAAAACCGTCCGCATAGGCTATGATTCGAGCGTATTCTACGCTCTCAAACTGACGAAATGCCGAGTTTGCCACTATATTCCACAGTGTTGGTCCAAGGCATGACCCCTGTGGGCATCCTCTAAAGACATTTTTGACATAAATGCCGCTGTCTGATGTTACTTGTACACTTCGATCTTGAAGGTACGAGCGAAGGATGGTAATAATGGCTGTTGGGCACGCCATGTTGTACAGCAAATTTATTACGTCTGGCCACCAAAGGGAGTCAAAGGCTCCCTGATGTCAATGGCTATTGCCAGTGAGTGCAAATTGTTATCCTTGTTCTGTTTGGATAGTGGCCATTAAGACTTTTATAGGCATGCTTCAGTTGAGTTGCCTATTCGGAATCCATATTGGTTGGGATGCAGGGCGTTGTTCCTTTGCAGGAAGAAGTCCAGTCTGGAAAGAAATTACTCTTTTCCAATACCTTACCGAGCGCTGGCAGTAGACAGACTTTGGCCTGTAAGATGTAAGGTTCTGCCCGGAGTTTTTCCCAGATTTTAGGAAATAACGCCACTTCTGCCAACTTTCATATTTTTAGGAAAGTACTGATGTTTCCAGCAAGCTGAAATGACCACAAAGAATAGTTTTGGGAATTCCCGGTGTATCTCTCTAATGATGATATTATCAATTCCATCCGGACCTGGAGCTTTTTTTGGTGCCAGAGTACGTATGATGTTATCCACTTCCATTTGCGTAGGAAGGGGAGTTCGTCTCTTCTGGTAACTTGGCGAAATTTCATACTGTAGGTTCTTCTCGCTTCCTCTTGCTCCTCTAAGAAATCCTCTTCATCATCATCAGGAAAAACTGGCATTTATGATCTCACTGATTACTTCGATGTTGGATGAGGCAGTGCTATTCACCATAGGCGAAAGGGTCGTAGGACGAAACACACTTGTTACATGTTATCTTTTGAGTAGGTCCAAAGGCTTTAGTGACATTACTACAGTAAGTTCTCCATGAGATTAACTTGGCCTCTTTAATTTTTCTTTTATATAAAGCTCTGGCTTTGTTGTATGTTATCATTTTGAGTTGCCGTAGAATTATGGATCTACCGTTGGATTGTGCTTTTCTGCGAAGTGTTCGCGAACCTCTGCTTCCTCTCCGTGTTAAGCTCTGGTGACCACCAGGAATATCGGAGTGGTTTTGCCTTTAGAGATTTCAAACGATATGCTTTGTAAGCGGCCTTGCACTTATTTTTGTAACTAGTAAGTCGTAGAGATTATCTAAGGAGTTTCTGTCCTTGGCAGTTGTTGAAATCTTTGATAAATTTCTCTACATGCGCTTCGAATCTGTTCCCGTAAAACGGAATGTCCTGCCAAATGCCGTCTTGAATCTTTTCTTTATTATGTAGTCTATAGGAGTATCCAGTCTGTAAGTAATAATTTTGTGATCACTGAGTGACGACAGGTCACTCACTGTCCAATCTTTGTATGTACGGAGTTATATTGGGAGTTGATACTGTTAGATCTGGCCACCCTCGAGCTCTAGATGTTTCAAAGGTAGGCGGCGAGTCCTGAGCGTTGATGGACAATGAAATGCTTACTGTGCTAAGAATTCTAGTACCGCAATTCCCCTTCGGTTCTCCGAGTCAGCACCCCATAGTTGACTGGTGGCGTTAAAGTCTCCTGCTATGATACAGTGTGATGCCCCAGTTAGAAGGTTTAGAATTAAGTTCCTCTAATAGAGAGGTAATATCTTCGCTCGGGGGTAGATACACAGCAATAATATCAATGCTGCAATTACTAGTGTCTAGTCTGATGGAGACTGTATGCTCTGTGATTTTCATTAGGAGAGGGGAGAGAGGGCCCACTGTAAATAATCGCAGCTAGCTATGATTCTTTGAGAGAAACGTTCTGCTGTGTGTTGGAACACTAGGAATCACTCCGTTGTGAAACGTATGGCTCTTGGAAGAATTCCGACATTGGCAGCAGTATGTGTCATTACTTGCAGCGTATTTATGGTTGCTGCATAGCACTTCTGCAAGTTACACTGTAAAAATCGAAGACCTGCTATATGTTTGTTTAGTGTCATCTTGGTTTAGTTCTTTGCAGTGGTCCTTCTCAGACTCTCGAAATGGGCTCCATACACTGGGCAGGAACTTGAAGTAGCTGGGTGATCTGTGCTGAAAGAGGTCCCCTTTTCAGAATTACTACTGCAGCAATTAGTGCAACTCACTTTTTCCGAGCTACACTCCTGCGTCGGGTGGCTGTTACCACACTTCGCGCAAACTGGAGCGTTTTTACAGTTCCTGCTATAGTGACCGAACTCCTGGCAGTTGTAACAGCGTATGATCCTAATGTACGGACGGAGAGGACAAGACTCAAAACCCACTAAAAGATGGCCTAACTTAACTAGGTGTTCTGCTGACTTAGGATCAATGTCTATCACCCAGCTCTTCCTTCCGCTTTGCTCGGAACGGCTTGCTCGTATTTGAAAAGCACTGGGATTGAAATTGGGCAGTTGGTCTACAAGTGCTGCTGTTAGATCTTCTTTTCCTAGATTCTCAGGTACTCCAAAAATAATTACACTTTCCCTTCTTGGCTTGGGCTCCCGAAATTCAAGTGTCTCTAGTAGTGCTGGCCTGTCCTCGATTGCCTGTTTCAGGCGTAGCAGGTGAGCTTTTTCTCGACATCGGATGAGAAGCTCTCTGGACCTTGTCGGCCGAATCTGCACTAAAGTGATCCCTAGCTGGGAGGGTTTCAAATCTGCCGAAAGTTGAGCTTTAATCCCTTCGGGTGTCCGTGTGGAGTTCTTTGACCTTAATAATAGAACGTGCTCCGATAGAACTGGAGAAGATCTCAGGACACTGCCTAAGCAGAAACAACCGTGGATAATATTATAATGTTTCAAAAGTTCAGAACTTAAAGCAAATAACCAGAATAACGCTTAGTGCCTTGCAGTTAACAATATGTAAAAACTGTTATTAGTTTATAATATTCAACCTTGTTACTCTGGAGTCTTCCCCGCCGTGATGGTATATAATTCCGTTTGGTTCATGTCCGTGGTCGGAAGCCATCATAGCGGTGCACTCACTCACTCACCTATACGCACGTGGAGAGCTAGGAATAATGCAGTCTGTTTAACATGGACCGTTAACGGGTGCAGTTTTGGATTGCGGCTGTGGAAATAGGCTGTGATAGGTGCTCAATGGATATTGCAGCGGAACAGTGAAAATAACCAGGATTATGAGAAAGACGTAGATACAATTTGATTCCAACAGATGCTGCAACGGTAAACACAAGTATGACTGTACCCCAACAGACATTTCTAAAACGTCTCAATTTTGGGATTTGACTTCGCCTTTTCGCTTCCCAGATTTAATAGCTCTGGAGCATTTTCTTTGTGTTTCCTTGAAGGATGGAGTATTTTTCACATCGTTTGTGAATGAGTGACAAATTGAAGACTGCCATCAGTCGTAAAGTACACGCTGTTCCACAGGACACGTTGAGATGCGTGATGGAAGCCTCAAACCATACAACCAAGCAAAAGGAGGACATTCATTTCAAGTTTCACTGTTATTTGGAATATGTACTACATTAATGCCTATGTTATTTAGCTAAATTAGTTTCACCACATTATGCTAATACAAGTAAAGCATATAAATATATAATCACACATTATATTACTAACAAGCATTCACACTCCTATTATTATTTAAATTTTAGGTACTATATGTGTCATCCTGTAAACAATATAAAGAAATGAGTGAGGGAAAATACTTTAGCTGTAAGCAACGCAATTATTTTGCATAAGCACATGAATTGCACAAAACAATAATCATTGACACAATGAAACACCAATTATGTGTGTACGAGATAAATCTAAAAAAGTTGTTCAATGTATTCTCCGTTTTATATTTGCAAAATTAAAGCCGATGTTCAAAGCTGATTGTTATTGATTTTATGTGATCCTTCACACACGCAATAAAGTACTACCTTTCAGATTACCAGAATGTGCAGCATATTCAGTTACAATATTTTTCATGTAGTCCTTCAGGCAGAAATCATACGGACTGCTGTCCGACGAATCTGGTGACCATTTAATAGAAACAAAAGAATAATGATACTCTTATCGCTGAAATATGTGACCAAATCCTTTTGTACGCAACGTCCAAAATTTCGAGATGCACCATCTTGTATAAAAGCGATGGAGAGTCAGCACCGAATTGTTGCAGTAGCCATAAACGAAGAATACTGTAACGGCAAGTATTACAGCACAATGCTTTATTGATTGCTTGATAACAGACGTCGCAACAACTCGCACACCGATTAGTTGCTTTTTTACGTGGTTGAACGCCTCCTAATAATGCTATAGTCCTGTCAAAACTCGTAGTCCCAAACACAAAAATTTTTGGATAGCTTAGAGAGACATTGTGGCCATGATGTATCGAAGCACAAGATTTCAACTTGAATAAGGATTTATTTCTCTAATTTCATTCGTAATACTTTTAAATACTTTTTTTAAATAATTCGTTTCATTTATTTACTAAGTTCCTTTTTGTGTAGTTTACGGTTAAACGTCTTGTAGCGCACACTTTTTAATGTATTTTTTTTTTCAAACTGATTTTCTTTATCCTTAAATATTATGTTATCTTAAGATATTTCGTAGATTCATTTGAAATAAACACACCCAAATTAAAAAGCTAATTTTTAATCTTCGGTTACAAAATATTCATGTTCTGTAATATATATATATATATATATATATATAATTAAAGACATAAAGTAAGAACTTTAGAACTAATATTTCACAAGGCCCAAAAATTGAAATTCATAATTAATAAATTTCAAATAATCTTTATGTAAAACTGTATCAAAAAAATTTTAAAAAGAAAAAAATATCCAAATATTATTTCCGCACAGTATGCTGTCAAAAATTTAATCAATTATTGACAAAAAAGTAAGAAATTTAGAACTTAATTCACGAAGGCATAAAAGAAATAAAATCGAAACCAGTAAAATCGCAAAATTTCCCAATAAATAAAACATTAACTTATTGTATATGTAAATCAAATATGTAATAATACTAATATAATAAGAGGAATATAATCGAAATCTGAATCAACGTTATCGAGAGGAGGTAGATCAGGTTCAATTGAATCCCTCCTCTCAGAAAAACCGCCGCGTTTCTGTTCATTCAAAATTAGCTTATTAAACTATTTAATCAGAACAGTTCATCCGAAAATTCTGAAGGCCTCCCCAGCGCAACAGCTTTCCATTCATATGAAATAAAAACGTACATACAAAAACATTTCCCTATGAAATAAATTCAATTTAAAAACGTAAAAGAAAAATAGACACTGTATATTGATATTAAATTCAAATTAAAATGTATTAATTGCAAAATAAATAATAATTAACAAAGAACCATACATTTTGAATTCATAACTGTTAGAGCAAAGGAAAAGAAGACAGCAATCCAAAAGGCAAGAGTAGACGCTCTAAATTTCTTACCTTTAGTCTCTCTCTCTCTATATAAATACATATAAAAGTAAAACGCATGCTAATGAGAAAATTTTATGCTTTCCAGGTGCTTCTAAAATCGCGTCAAGAGTGCTGATTTTTTTTTAATTTGCTATTTGCAATTATCCTTAGATCACACATCATGATCAATGGGGATAAATATAGTTACAGATTCCCATCTTTCATCTTTTTATATTGCTTTTTTGTCTGTATTATTTTGGATGCTTTAGCATGCAATGTTTTGCATGCAATGTTGAAGAAGAAGTATTATTAAGAGTCTTACTTCTGACCAATCACCTGTAATCCATTCTGGGCAAGGATCTAAGGGGCAATATTGAATACTCGGAGGTTCGGGTAATCCTCCATCTATACAGAGACCTTTCGGCACAAGTCGCGTGGCATTCTTAAGCACTCTAACTCTGCAGTCTATGGTTCTAACCTGTAATGAAGATATTAAAAAATTATTTTGCTGTACTGTTATTTACTTCATCCGAAAAATTAAAAGGACAGTTTCAATAATGATTGGATATTTGAAATTATTTAATACAAACATTTTATAGCAATGTAATTTCCTGAAAATGAGATAAAAAATTTCGTGATTTTTCAAATTGTATATCATAAATTCTCTATCAAAGGAGCAGTTTCTATATTGTAAATAGCCTTCTCGAGACGACAAAGCAACGTGCTTGTCATAATCAGTTATCAAACTACGTAAAAATGGAAGATGGCTTTTTAAGTACGTTCGCCGGTTCAATAAAGTACGGCATCTGAACATTAGGCAACATTTTAGTTAGGCTGGAGAATTCGCCTTTAAAATTTGTTCAAACCAAATAGCAAATCAGTATCTTAGTCGTCATTTACGAAGGAAATGCTACAGAATATTAAAATATCGAAATATTTCTTAAATCACTGAAAGTTAGTGAAAAGTATACACATACTGAATAACATGTAATATAATAAATTTGAAAAATATTTCAATATATCTATATATTGAAATATATATATATATATTTAAAGTCCAAAGGGTCTTTGTCCCTGAGGGACTATTTTTTTTTCGTTTTGCGATTTTGCGTCGAATCACTCTGAATGTCCGTTTCACTTTTCAAACTGTTGCCACCAAATATTATCGACCTGTATTATATTTGAAGAAATTAAATAATGAAGAATCTGAATAAATGTATGTATGTTTCTCGCATTGTGATAAAACAAAGGTACATAAAGCCATCAAATTCTGAATGACGTAACCCTACTGCGAACGTTTTTTTCTCCAGCGCGTGAGACTGTGCATCGGAAATTCTAAAGATATGCTCAATTTTTGCAATATTGCTCTTGAACTCAATTTTATCATTTACGTACAAAGAACATAATATTGAATAAATAAAGGTAACACACATAAATGTTAAAAAAAAGCCCCTTTGGACGTAATTTAAAATCTAAAACCTTTCAGTTTTTTTTTTTTTTTTTTTTTTTTTTTTAAGTTTTGTAGCAGTTTAGATGTAAAATTCATCATAGTATTTACCACATAGTCAGATGTGTGTGTGTGATTATGGCAAAGCCTCGAGGCTATCTGCCTAAGAGGAGGGATGCCGTCGAGGAGGACTTTCTAAGGGAAACTGGCTCGTATACACGTGACACATGGGGAAAACCACGAAAACGCCCATGCAGCCAGCCCGTTCGCGGGATTCGAACCTCGGACCGAACTACCAGTGTTCAGCGACTTTACCGCTCGGCCGCTGGTGGGCCATAGTAAGCTGAAAAACTGGAAGAAATAAAGTAAAAAAATTAAATCTTTCACATAATAAGCCTAGAGTAATAAAAGTAAAACGTAATAAACGTAACATAACATAATGATACTCGACATAAAAGTAATTTATAAAATAGAAACTATAACCGCCACTTACGTTAGTTTCTAAAATTAAGAAAATTATGTATAATAATAGAAACTCAGAAGATTAAAAGAAAAACTTCGATTCTTCAGACAGATTCGAAATTATCACAGGGGAATCTCATTAGAACTATCTGCTTTAAGGATTTATATATAGTTATAGTTGAGCAACGATTTATTAAGTTATACTCAAAATTATCTGCAAAATGTCTTCTTACTGAACTATTCTGAACTGACATTGAATACGAAACGAAATTAACATTGAGAAGAAATAAACAAGGTAAACAGACGGCTTTTTCAAGATTTTCCTAGAGATTGTATAAAGCCTAAATCCTTGAATACGTTTCAGTGCAATGTTTTACATACTATCGAATTACCAATAAAGCATACATGGATTATTACTCTTAATATTACATTTAAATGAAATTCTCCCAAGAACTAATGTTCTTAGTATCATCGAAGTTGAAACTGTGGTACGTCTACCTTTATTTAGTACTTAAAATTCCCCAAAGTATTGTTTCCGTAAATCTTTTACGATAATGAGTTATTGAAAAGGGTAATATCAACTGGAAGTTTCAAAGTGAATAGCATATCTTCAGTGATAGTTAGTTGTAGAAAAAGTCGCACTGTCGCTGCTAAATGACTGTAAACATTTCAGTATTAAGTGAGGGATTTATTAAATGTGAATCATGTAAATTTGTAATTCATTGCATATATCGATAGCTATTGCTCGTAGAATATATTCAAAGCAAAAAATCTGAATTGATTATTGCGTGTATTAGTAAAAAATGTCAGAACCACAGAAAGTGAAAAATGTTTATTTTAAATGTGATTTACATAAATTTTACATTTAGTCAACAATATAACATTTCCATAATAAACTAATTCATTCACCTAAGCGGTGATCTCACTGTTCAGTTTGCGTGACAGCTATGCTAATAATGAATTGTACAGAAATACTAATATGTAATTAGATAGCTACTTTAGAAGTATGTCTTTAGAAACATTAATTATAGTTAATTAATTTTCCTAGATTTCCTGGTTTTGGGAATGCTCTGCTGAAACAGACATCAGTAGCTACAGTATTCATAATCAGAATTAAATTTTCATTTCATTTGAGCTCAATTTTCTCTGCAAATCAGTTTCCATGGATTTTCGTCTTTCGATAATGTTAGATGCAAAATATTTCCTGTAACGTATGAAGTTTATTAATTTAATTGAATATGGAAAAGCATACGAAGATTGTCTGCTTAGCAGGGAATAATAAAAAAAAAAAAAAAAATCTTGCCGCTAACCTGCGAGAATTCGAGCCTGCGAAATCTGCCTTCGAGATTCTGAACTACAGCGTGCAAGATCTTAAGCATTTGACAATAGGTAGGTCTTTTGTAACGCAGCGAAAAGAAGAATCAGACAGGAAGATGATATGAATAGATTAATTTTCATTAGTTAAAAGTTAGTTGTACGGAAACTCTTTCTTTCCGCTTGTCTCTTAATTTAGGGAAACTGAAGAAGAAAGTAATATGTTGTAAGATTATCAACTTGTAAAGGGAGTTTCTGAAACACATAAATATCAGGCTCGAAACTGAAGAATTTTTGTGCGTAACCGTATACAAATGCACAACCTGTTCCACCCGTTTGTTAATTGAAATTTCCAAGATGGTAACAATCCAGCGACCGGGAGGTGAAAATGTCAGCGAGATGTTTCACCTCTTCAGTCATCGTCAGCAAGACGGTACGACGGTACCATTAAAACCATCTAACCGGCAAGGCTGTATATACGTGCTAGAATATTTTTTACGATGTCTGTAAGAACGTATATATACGTGCATCTTGAAATACGTCAAAAAAATTAAGGCAGTGTATTAAAATTGCATAAATACATAGTGTGCTTTTTACATTTTTTTCTTTTAATATGCAACTAAAGTAATTTAATTAATTGCAACTAAAATGTTTGTCAAAAGACCAATAAATATCTCTCCTTATGTTCAGTAACCGACTGCATGATACTTCATATTTACAAGTGAAAGCTTATATTGACCCCAGTTTAACTAGAGAACCGTTTTCCATAGGTCAAAAGATCGTTTCACCAGAATGGAATTTGAGCAACAAAAGTGAAATTGATTTTATGAGTCGCTTTTCGTAGATTTATACTAAAATATTGAATACAAGCCCGTTATCCTGTTAATAACTAGTATAAAGAATTCGCCCGTTATCGTGTAAATACAGAAGCCAAATTTCCAAGCTTGTCTTAAGTCTGCTAATGCAAAATGCTACCACAGAATTTTGCAACATTTGTTGTATCAAGAGGATTTGTTTGCAGGGAAATTCTTCTACCAAATTCCCCTATTATAACATAGTGTGCATCCGATTTATGCAATTTTAATACACTGCCTTAATTTAATGAACCAGGGATAATTTGCCATTAAAATCAAGAAAATAGCTCTTTCTCGTGGCAGTTTTAGGAAATTTGGGCTTTCTTGGAAAAATCCCATGGCGGTCACTGTATGATAATTTTTTTTTTCCTATTAGTATATTAATTGTCATAGCCATTTTAAATAAATACTTATTCTATTAAAAAAATTTATTTTAATTGTATTTTATTTTATACCATTTTTAGCCCGAAAAGACTATTAATTTCGAAACATGATTTTGTGCTGTTTCGTTTTAATGCGTTGTTTCACTTTTCATTCGAGTCTGTGGGTATTCGGAAAAACGGAAAGTATTATTCTTTCATATTTAATCTGTCTGCTACTGATAAACAAACTAAACTATTTAAAAGCAAATGATGCAGTTCTTAAAAAATATTATTTTTTTACTTTTAATCGAACTAAAATAAAAATGTATTTAATTCATGATGTGCCTAATTAAAAACATTAAATATTTTTATTGAATTACATTATATACTTTTTCACTTTTTAAATATATGAAAGATATATATGCCATCTCTATCGATGATCCCTACTGATACAACATAATTTAATACACACTTTTAAATAGCCCTTTGATTGATCATTAAAATCTGAACCCTTTCAGATACGGAATGGACATAGTTTGTCGCAATACTTTCAAACAAATAAACATGCTTTCATCTGCTAAGAGAACACAGTGCAAGGAAAAGAACCCATGACCCATAGAGAAAAAGCACGCCCTAATTTTAATTAAGGTAATATTTCTTTTTATTCATATTTCAGGAATTAATTTTTAGATGGTCAGAGATTTCAACTTTGATTAATATCTAGTTCTATAATAAAAATTTAAATTAGATACAAATTCTCTAATCGTATTTTGAAGATGTGCGGTATTATAATTGAAATTTTAATGCTATATACAAGAGGAATAAATAGATCACATTCTGTACTTAAAATAACAAATTATTATTCTTTTACCTGAATACCCGTCTCTCCACAAGAATGTGAGCAGGGTGACCATACTCCTACTATCCAGTCATACTCCAGGACTACAGGATCAGACTTCACGCGTTCTTCAGCAAAATGGCGCATATTAACCAAGAAATGACGAACTTGTGGAAGGGCAGAACGGTTTGTAAGTTTTCTGCTGAGATTTTCTACTGTTGGAGCAGGTGTTGTCGATAGAGAAGTTATGGAACCTGAAATAAAGTCTATATTTTCTTTACGTCTTAAAATTTGATGAAATTTAAGAAATTATATTAGGTTGAAGAAAGGAATTATTACTGCGTATGGGTTATAATTTAATTAGTATACTCATTAGAGCTCCTAAAAATGCTCTTATTTCATATTATAATTTTATACAGCATATAATAATGTAATCATGAATTCATCCATGGGAATAGCTTGTGGAGTGAATATGATCATAATATTTAAATTTAAACACAGTGGTAACTTTCACTTCTAATATTAATAAATTTGGATGAATTTTGCAATGATAATTTTCATGAACTTCCACTACTGTTAAATTTTACTCACGTTTCCAAATGATTACGCCGATATTTACTTAAATTTATTTGTCAAATCTTTCCTGATTTCCAGATATTTATTAATATTTTCTACCAAAGTATGCACTGCATACGAGTTTTTATTGCAACCCAGAGATATCAACTCTTTCAATTTAGGCAGATTCCCAATTCTCAAATATACTCCCGCCAACCCGATTTAGAATATATTTGTATTTCTTCCGATTTTCTCTTATTCCTTCAAATTCCTCCGATTTTTGTGTAGCTTTTCTCAACATTTTTTTATTCGTACCAAGAATAATGATTTTTGCTGTCTGTAGGACGAACACTGAAAACTTCTTTTTTTTTTCTTTTAGTATGCAACTAAAGTAATTTAATTAATTGCAACTAAAATGTTTGTCAATAGACCAATAAAATCTCTCCTTATGTTTAGTAACCGACTGCATGATACTTCATATTACAAGTGAAAGCGTATATTGACCCCAGTTTAATTAGAGGACCGTTTTCCATAGGTCAAAAGATCGTTTCACCAGAATGGAATTTGAGCGACAAAAGTGAAATTGATTTTATGAGTCGCTTTTCATAGATTTATACTAAAATATTGAATACAGGCCCGTTATTCTGTTAATAACTATTATGAAGAATTTGCAATTCGCCCGTTATCGGGTAAGGGCAGAAGCCAAATTTCCAAGCTTGTGTTAAGTCTGCTAATGCAAAACGCTACCATAGAATTTTGCAACATTTGTTATATCAAGAGGATTTGTTTGCAGGGAAATTCTTCTACCAAATTCTCCCTATTATAACATAGTGTGCATCCAATTTCTACTTAACTTAACCAGAATAGATCCAAGTTCGCATTATTCAACATGGAAGCTGAATATATAGCATTAACATAAGCTTCTAAAGAAGCAGTGTACTACCCTCGCTATTGAAAGAGAGAAATTTTTCGAAAATGGTACCATTACAACATATTTTTATAAGTAATGGCTTTCTTTTCCTATGAGAAACAGCCAAGCCGTTCGGCCAACACATGCGAGTGTATTATATAGAATGTACGAGTATATGCATTATATAGTTCTTATTTTCAGAAACCGTGAAAATTGTATGTTTGCTCCGTAAACTTAAGTTTACTTACTAGTGCTTGTACTGTTTTATTTGACGTGTGGCAATAACCTGTGTTTGAAATATTGAGAAAACATTTCTAGTTGCAAGTTTGTTGAGTGGTTTGGGTTTAGGATATTCGTTCTATTTTTTACACTGACCTCTAGGTAATCTTTTATTTTAACCTATGGTGTTTAACTCAGAATTATTGGTAATTATATATGTTTCGCTATTCACTATTTAATTGTTTAATTGACATTTATTTTGATTCGAGGAGATGTAAATTTAGGGACTAACCTGGATTTTTCCGAAATGCCTCCTCCCTCGGGCAGTGTGGAGGGATTGCCATATATCATTACAGTATGTGCTTACAATTAATTTTTCTCATTAGGAAAAGCCAAAAGCGTCGATAAAACCCTGTGAAGGTCATCCTGACTGGAAGCGGAAGATTTAAAATGGGAGTTTGGATCTCATTTCCTTGCTATTGTTTGTTTACTCTTTAAAGAGTAGGAAAGATAAGGAGACGAGAATGACTTGAGACTTGCTAGCGTCTAGACGTTTTACGTCTGCAAAGATAATTTCCCTCTTTAAAAATGCATTATGTTATTCCCGAGATGTTAAAAGCAAAATTTATTGTTATGTTAAATAAAAGTCAAAAAGACAACCTGTCTGATGCTTCTTCAATCCGGAAGTTACTGGCATCGCTCACGCTACTATATGAAGAAAAGTTCGAAGACGTTACAAGGACCAGCTCTGTTGTGGAATGATAATTAGAGCGCGCAACATTTTATGAGAACTCTTGGTCGTCATTTGAGAACGAAACATATTGATTCTCGATTTCTTTACATATAAGAGAATAGTTCTATAAAAAAGAAATGAATTTTATATGTCTACAGCTGACACGGCATTCACCTACAGCATTACTGAATGGTTCTGTTTACAGACCTTACTTTTTTGTAAACTGTGCTTTAATCAACACGTTATTTTTATGATGAACTTTCCTGTCCTTCTTCTATTTCGTCAGTTTAACCAGTTTCAGTGAGTCTAAATTATGACGATTAATTTAAGAGGGAAACATAGAAAACTTGTAAAGTGTATTTTAATTAACCTATGTTTGTTATGTATGTAGAACTTCTGTTCTTTCTAATTGCCTCTGGAAACATTTACTAATCCTGAATGGGAGCAGAGAGCTTACTTAAACTATGGTTGTGAGTGTGTAGGACAAACAGCACCATCAAGAAGGGTTAACTGAATCCTTTATTTTTCACAGTGTACAGCCGCTCCTGCACTTCGGGATACAGAGACCAGCACTTAAGTCTAAAACGTAGAAAATAAGAAATAAACTAACTTAATAAGAACTAAACTTAGATGCTTTACAGAGACTATTAACGCGAAGATTGGCCCATTGACACTACGCATATAGTGAGCAAAATGCAAAACTACAATATTTCCTCCAATATCAGAGGGAACTAAGTTGTGGCCTTTCAAGGCAGACATGAACTGACTGAAAAGCACGCGCGTGGTAAGGCAGCGAGAAGTCTGTCTCTTCTCTTGGCTAAAAGCCACATCTTAAATACTATACATTTTGAAACCTCGTTAGCATAAACAATTCTCCTCTCGCTTATTCTGGCCAGAAATAGAAAATAAGAGAAGATAGCAAAGTTTTAAAATAAAATAAACGTTAGTAAAACTTAAAATCCTTACAATGTTAACATATGTCCTATGCTCTTAATATTTCGTATTATAGAATATATAAAGGGAGGCATTTTAAATAGGAATAAGTATTTAATTAAAGGAATGAGAGTTGGCAATTCCAATTCGCCATAAAGAACTCTTTTGTTTGTGTCCAACGGGAGCAAAATTTTTACAAGCACAAAAGGAAAAAAAAAATTTTTTTGGCTACATTTATTTAGTGTTCTGCTGCAGTAAAAGTCGGAGAATTCATCTTTCAGGCTTTCACATTGATAAAGCAATATTTCAGTGATGAATATAATTCCAAGATGTGGTACTCGAAGTACAAATTATTTAAAGTACAAAACAGAAAAATTATTTAATGTTAATGATTAATAATAGATATATTTTTATGACAAGCAATTAGTATATGTTGAAATAATTTCTATACAATCGTTTAGAGATGCAAGAATATTAGTTTTAGAGAAATGATACCCTACATGAGAAATCATTATACAAATTGCTGTTAAGTATATTTTGGTATATTATACATACATTAACCCCAAGAAGTCGATATGTATGTTATCTAAAGTTACAAAATGTTTTATAGGAACGTGCTACTTTAAATTAATAATACTATTCAAATGGTGTACCTGCTGATTTAGTTATTACAATAGTCAACCATATTTGACCTTCATTTGATTAAACGTTTCACATTGCTTATGAAAATCGTTCGAGGATGGGGCGTGAGAGGCACTTGCTTCAGATACAGAAGGGAAACAGGGTGTAAAATTAAAATATAATTAATTAAATACTAATGTGAAAATAATAAAAAAATACTAAGTGAAGTTCTGAATTTTAGCTTAGGTTTTGATAAGTCTGCTGATACAATTGGTGTCTTTTCAGCTGTTGATAATTTCAGTGTTGCTAATTTCACTTCATAATGCCAGTCCTAGCCTTTATTATCCATTTGGTTTCAGCACCTAATTTCTAATTTTGTTTTTTATATTTTCTACAATAAACCGTGCTTCATGTCGCATATGCTGAAACAGATTATTCGAAATTCAAAGCAATATGGATATAAAGTCACGATATGAAAGATGCCACACTCACTCGTATCTGAGTATAGCATTTCGGGTTGTCTTGTAGGCAAAGGCTTTACTTGCACAATCACGTCGCTCCTAAAAGCGCCCGCCAAGCACGTGTATGTCCCGGCATCCGAGAACGTGATCTTATGAATTCGAAGGGCTCCTTTTCCGGACACGGAGACTCGTGGCCAATTGCTGGTGGTGGATGGTGGCATTCTTGTTTGGTTTTTGAACCAGAGAACCCGGCTAGTGTTGGAAGCTGGGAACACCGGACAATGAAATTTGGCATTCGATCCCTTAAAAAGAATGGCTTGGCCTGATGCTTTCAGAGTCACGCGTCTGGAAAGGAAATTATCAATCAGTCAGACAGCCAAACTGAGCTAGAATAAGTAACTAAATGTAAAGGGTACTGACATACAATATTGGACACTTCTATTTTCTGACAGCTCGATTTGCTAAGAATAAAGATAGTCTTGTTTTTTTACTCTTTTAATTTTTATTTAAGAATATTATTACAATGAAATTTATTTACTGAAATATAGCAAAAATTTTTATTTTAATTTTAAAGTCTAATTGAGGTATTTATTGTTCTCCCCCTTTTTTTTTTCTTGTTTTTCTGTACATTATGAAGCTTTCCGAATCAATTGCAGTATTATGATCGTAATGTTCTTTAAATTAGTGCATTTGATAAGCATAGCAGTTGTGTATAAAATATGTATTCTTTGTAAAAATAAAAATAAATAAATAAAGCGAAATTATTGGTTCAATTAAAATAATGCAATGATGTTAAAATCTGAAATTTTTACAAATAAATCAAAAATGAGAATTTCATTTGCTTAGCAAACCTGTAAGACGCGAACAAACTTATATGTTCGAAAATGAAAAGATTTATAATTTTGTATTTTTCCTTCTATAAGTAAACACGTGCCAGACAACTTATATGTGGAATAATATATGCGTCAGCTTGATAATTCCAGCCAGAAGATATATTTTTGTCATGAGTTCATTTCGATAGTGGTAAAAGTTTTCTGCACATAAGAAATATATATCTCAGCTATTTAAACAAACAAAAAAACGAAACAGAGTGAAATTTTTTTAATCACGATGCTTATTTTAAAAAGGAGAACATAGTTATAGGGGATGAAAACAGCACATTTAATTTCGCGGCCATTGACAGCCAATGTTGACGCAAATATCTTTCTGTAGAAAACTATTTGGCGAATATTGCCTTTTAATGCAAAGATAAGTGTTTTTGTGGTTAAGTTCAGAAAAAGAAATAAGTTAAGGGAACTGTAAAGTTTTCTAAGATATAAAACTGCAGCAAAGTTATTGGTTTTTCTCACGAATTTTTGGCCGTTTCAAAAACTGGCGGAAAATCTTGTCTCTTGAAGTGCTAGAAATTTTTGTGTTGTTGTGGCTAATCTAATTTATCTGACATAATCAGAACAAGCCTAATAATTTTATTGTTGCAAGGGGTGTCTGTTGTTAGTATGAGCCCTGAGTACCATATAGGTGACGATGCGACTTAGTCCTAGCTCAGCTCCAATTTTGAAGGACAGCACCGGAGGGGCTGGGTAGATTCTCCGATCTTCTTCCCTTGCAACCAAACCATTCGAGAGACCTTTCAATTCGTTGTGTATTTTAAGCGCACTCATGCATCGTAGACACTGTACATTTACAAGCATTCATACCTTCTGCGAGATTCGAACCCAGGCCTTTAGATACGGCAGTCAGTGTCACTAATCACTATCTCGTCCGAGCGGCTAGAAAATTCAACAATCGTAATATATAAAGGGAGAATATCAGTCAATATTAATATGCATTTGGATTTAATGTCGTATGATAAATCATCTGCAAAGATTTGAAAATAGAATGCACAATTAAGCTGTAATACCATACTGGTCTCCTTGTTCACATGGCATTCAATATTGTATTGAGAAAGTTATATTATATGCTACTACATAATTTATTGTTTCTTAGAAAGAATAAAATATTTTCTGAAACGACAGTGGTATCCCTTTTCTAAAGAAGAATAAGCATCTAGACATCCCATCCTAAGGTCATAAGGTGTTTATTATAGAAATAGGCAGAATTTCTACATGTATTGTTTTTAGATGAAAAAGCTCATTGCAATTCAAGAGATGACCTAATGGGAACCTCTCTTCATCAGAAATAAGATGTTCTGAATTTGCGTTTTAGTTTAGTCACGGCAGAAATAACTCATATGTTACCCACTTTTGATTTAAATAAAAGAAATTAGCATTAATTTATAATTTTCTGATGTAATATCCGTAAAGATATAAACAATAACCAAAAACTGACTGAGTTTCAACGACTTGGAATTGGAATACACTTTTACCGATGAATATAAACTTGACAAGGAATGTTGTAAATTTCCCAAAGAATTCAGAACTAATAAGGAACTTAAAAAAAAAACTGAACTGCTTAAAAGCTAAAGCGCACACCATTACCTCAGTTCTAAGAAAAGAAGATTTAGATTCTAAATAAGCATGTTGCTAACCAAGAAAGACAAACTGAAATAAACGCTATTTGAGTGGTAAAACAAAGGTAGCTATAAAACACTCTTTGGCGCAGTAAAATTCAGTGACACATTATAAATATCTATAAAAGGAAAATTTCTTTGTTTCCGTAATACAGAATCAAAATACATTTCAGAAATATTTAAACATATTATCGAGTGATAACTTACCTCGATACCTTACTCCGCTATTTTAGACACTTCTACCCTCTTGCTGATTTTTCGAAGAAGGCTGTGGTTTTTGCCTTGTTCTTTTTATTTTACAGCCGCATTGCCCGCCATGAAAAAGAGGATATTTCAGTGCTTGAACTTGAAAAGCAATTAACAATTCAAGGCGTTATGCCACAGCCGTGGCCCATTTTCTCTTGTTTTTTCCCCTATTGTTTGGCCACCCTTATTTATTGAACTTTTAGTCATCAGCGGAGAACTAAATTACCCGTTGACGGACTCAAGTTCGTGCAATAAACAAGCCACAGAAATTTGAAGCATTTAAAATCTATCGACATCAAAGTATTCTAAAAGGTTGATATCAAGAGAGCAGGGAGAATGAGATTTCCGAATTCCACTTAGCAAGTCCTCGTGCTGTCTTGCTTTAATTATGGAATTCACTTCAAGCCTATCTTATTTTACTCAAATTATGCTTTCCTATTCATATACGAGATATAATTTACGGTTTAAATATTTTTGGCGTCATATAATGTATTTAATAAATAAATATAAGTTCTGTTGGCACGTTGATTATGATTAAGTAGTATCAACAGTTGTAATATCTAACTGATTAATTGTAGTTAGAGTTATATGAAATTATTTTCACTCATCAGTTAAAATTTTATGTGCCACTACATTTAAGTAGTTAGAATTTCTTATCCTGCTTTTACTTTCGTATTCGTTACTTGTTGCAGAATATATTCAGGCCTCATAACTAAACACCTTTCAGAATTACACAGGAAGATTACTTGCTGTAGACTGTAAAAATATAAATTTATATAAAGCTACAGTTGCATCACATTTACTGTTTTATGTTACGTAATTTTGTATTTTCCAGAAGAGAACAAGAAGTTAAAATTACGCTTCGAACATATTATTAGAAATTCATATAAGGCTACACTTAGGCTGCATTTGTAACTGATCTCAAGTTATTCGTATTGATTTATAATTTGATATTACAATGTCAAAGTCAACTGTGTCATGACGCCGAAACTTTGGCTGCATCTGAGCACCGCCTGAGTAACCTGACTTTATTGTAAAAGTCTTACAGTGTTACTAGTCATCCTGGCTGAAGGGATTATTTCTTCCGTATAAAAATATACACTCATATCCATAAAATAAGGATAATGCAAAATCAAGCAAAGGAAGAGTTAGAAGCAAAACAATTTGACTTATTTGTGAAGCTTATTTATTAAACAAAAGGTAAAGAGCAAAAAGAGATGCTATATCTTTGATATTATTAAAAAAATTAGCAATTTTTTCTTCCTGGAGCAAATTACAAGAAAAAAAAAAAAAAAAAACCTATTTACAAAAAACCAATATTACATGGTTGGTATGATTGTTAATACATTGTATGTCTCCCAGACGATGCAATACAGTCCGTACAACGCCTAGGCATGTTGAGTATCAAACTATCGATCTGATCTTGGGGGATTTTACACCACTCAAAAAGCAATGCTCTCCGAAGTTCCGGTACACATGTAAGAGGAGGTTGACGGGCTGCAACTCGTCGGCCAAGCATATCTCACAAGTGCTCTACTGGATTCAAGTCCGGTGAGAATACTGGCCAGTCCATACGGATGGCATCCTCCGATTGAAGGCATTCGCTTACGATGTTTGCACGGTGAGGACAGGCGTTGTCATCTATAAACACAAATTGTGCGCCCATGGTGCCCCAAAACAAACGTACATGTTGTTCCAGAATGACGTCCCGATAGATTTGGCTTGTCATGGTTCCAATTTGAACATGCAGGTCAGTTCTGGAACCCAGAATAATTCCACCCCAAACGAGCACTCCTGCACCACCGTAACGGTGTCGTTCAATGATGTTTTCTTGGTGGTAACGGGTACCTGGAGCTCTCCATATGGAAGTCCGGCGAAAATCAGACTGCAAGCTAAACCTGGATTCGACGGAAAACATCACACAAGCCCACTGTTGCGGTGTCCACAATGCATGCTCTCTACTCCAGGCTAACTGTAGGCGACAGTGAGTTGCAGTAAGTGGAACGCATCTGACAGGTCTACGAGCATATAGACCAATCTGCCCTAAGCGTCTGTACACGGTCTGCCTTGAAATTGTCGTACCAGTGGCTGAAGAGAGCTGACGAGACAGGTCTGAGGCTGTGCTCCGCCTGTTTCTTTTGGCAGTAACTGCCAAATACCGGTCCTCATTCGGCGTAACTCTGGGGCGACCTGTAATGTAACGTCTACTTACCATCATCTTGGAATCGTTGCCAAAGTCTGGAGATGACACTCTGGGCAATTCGAAGTTTGTCTGATACTTCCAGTTGGGTACGCCCACATTCCAGACGGCCGATAATTCTACCACGTAAAAAATCATCCAAATGCGTCCTTTGTGTCATACTATTCGGTTATCGCACTGAAATGCTTATAAAGCGCCTGCGAACAATTTGACTTCTTTGCCTGTATTCCTTATATCACTCTCGTCATTGTGACGCACCATCGGTGTCATCTGGTTACTTCCTGAAATTTGCATATGATTCTTGAAGATGTGTGTAGTGATTTTACAGGTAATATATTTATTATAGAGTTCGATTTCCGCGTGACTCCGAAATTATCCTTAATTTATGGACATGAGTGTAAATATAAATATTACTTGGACATACAAGGCCTGTGTATAAGCTTTGAACTTATTATTGATCTAAGAGTGTTTCAATTTTGATCTAAAGCTCCAATGTTTATTGCTTGCGTGATATTATATTTTGTATCAGAAATTATACGGAATTTAAATTTTACGTGAGCAATTTTAAAATAAATTTAAAGGCAAGCTGCTATTTTAAAAGAAATGAAAAAAGTATATAATAACTTAGAGATTACCTGTTGGGGTACTTTTGTACGAACACCTGCTCATCTGGATAATTGGTGACAACTTCAGTGTCATCAGCTGTCTTCATGACAGGATCCATGGTGGCAATTGTGGTAGTTGTAGTTGTAGTAGTAGTAGTCCTTGGAGGTGGTGGGCAAGGTTTGAGATTGCATTTCTTGATAGCTTTCGGCCTCGTTTTAAGGCACTTGGATGGTGGTAACTGGATAGTTTGGCTGAGAGGTGCTAGAATCTTTTCGCATTGTAGTTTTCTTGTCTGAAATCCTCCACCGCAAGATCGAGAACACTGGATAAATGAGTTCATTAATTTACAAAATCGCAGGTAATATGTAATGAATATATCTTCGTACAAAGCACTTTTTAATGCCGTTCCCAAAGTGAAATTTCATTTTAAAATTAATTGAGAATTTAATATCTTTAAATTGCGTTTAACTGATATTAAGAATAAGAGGTGTTTGGTGTATTTAATTATGGCAAAGCACACGAGGGCTATCTGCCTAAAGGGAGGGATGCCTTTCGTGGAGGACTTTCTAAGGGAAACTGGCTCGTATACACGTTACACATGGGGAAAACCACGAAAACGCCCATGCAGCCAGCCCGTTCGCGGGATTCGAACCTCAGACCGAACTACCAGTGTTCAGCGTCTTTACCGCTCGGCCGCTGGTGGGCTAAGAATAAGAGGAAAATATTAAATGAGCATTATTTTCTCGATCCGTGATTTCGATTAGTCACGAGAATTCAGGATTTCAGTTGGCACCAAATAGTAATAAAGTAATATTTTAAAATTATTATTATTTTTATTTGATGTCGCATAAGAAGCTTATCTTAAAATGGCCCTTTGGTTGCAATTTTTAAAGCCAATAAATCGAGACAGAGCCGACGGAATTTTCTTAACTAGAAATTCTATATACTACATTCATAATAAATCGAAGTAAAATATGCGACTAAAGAGAGCTAAAAAGTGAAAAGGAAAACATCACATAAATAGTTTCTTGATTCCTGAAAAGCAACAAAATAATTGTTTTGTCAAGTTACGAGATGAAATTCAAAAGCATCAAGAAAGAACAAATTAGGGTTTCTTGAAATTTTGCTTAACAATGACTTCGTAGGGAAACTGTAATTAACAAATTTTTCATAAATATAGGACTACGTATTTAGAAAAACAAATACCGCGAGTAAAAGAGAATGCAAAGAAATTAATTTTATATAAAGTGATATATGAAATTGCGTTTGAAATACATACGAATTTCATAAAAATTTATGGAAAATAGTATACATATTTATTATTTATAAAATTAAATTTTAGAAGCTTTATTTTTCACTATTATGCATATCAAAAATTTAAATACATATGATTAAAACTTTCGCTGGAAACTGAAATAAAGGATGTAAGATTTTTTTTCAGAATTAATACTGTAATTTTATGAAGAATCGCTTTTCTTGTCATTTCTTTTTGTTACAGAATTACTGTAGTTACGGAAACAGAAATATTTATACTTAATACCAATATCAGAACAAAAAAAAAAAAAAACTGAAGTTATTTAGCAAACCTTTGCTCAAAGGAAATGGCTAATCTTAGAAAGATATTTCCAGATGAATATTTCGATGATGGTATAGAACTGAAGAAAAAAAAAAAAAAAAAGAAAAAAAACAGAGATTTAACCCATCTGTGCACGCTTTCCTCTTAAGAGCTGAATACATTCTGTTCACTACAGAGCTATAATATTGTTCTAGTTCTAATTTATATCTATTTATAATATTCTCATTTTATAACTAGACGATACTTTGTTAGCTACGTTACTGAATTAATGAAATAAAAGTTTTATCAGTGAAGTACCTGAATTGCATCATATGGAGAAAGGCCTGGAAGGAGTAGGAATAGAAGTTTGAATCGCAGCACAGAAACGAAGGGACTGAAATGGCGGGATTGGAAAGTCGGGACCGAAATATCATGGACCGTACTAAACGAGTGTTTGAAATAAAGTCTGCAGATTTTTGGAGTATTATGACTGTAAGAAATGAAACATAGTTCTTCAAAACTGAAATGTAACCTAGCAAAATTTTATAGTAAGTTCATAAAATTTAGTGAACAGGTGATAAATAGATCGTTATGTAAACTTTCGTTGTGCTCCTCACGTCAAGCGTATAAGACGTGTCAGGCGTACGATATCTGAAGTGCAGGAAGATGAAAATACTTCAAGAGATAAAGGATATTGGCCATTTGTGGCAGGCTAAAAAGGGAAATTTTCATAGGCCAGTATGCAATGAGGCTTCATACAGTTATTTCACAACAATCAGCAACTTTATTCGGTAAGAGCGTTTCAGAAGAGAAAAATTTGCGTCCTCACAGCTTGATAAAGTATTACTGAAACAAAGATTTGATGATGAAGGTGAAAGTGTTCGGTCTCGAATAGTCATTTCTGACGAAACATGATTATGGGCTTGAAGTCAAAGTTGAGAAGGCTGTTAATACAGCGAAAAGAAAAATTTTCCCCGCGACGCCAAAAATTACAAACATAGGTGAAGTATACGACGATCACCATGGATAGTAATAATTCAAAATAAGTGAGTAGTAATCAAAGTAAGAGGAAAATAAATCATTATTTACTTATTTTAACTTATATATGAACATTTATTTAACTCATATATAATATTTATATATTATTTATTTTAATGAATAGTAATTAAAATAGGGCAAGTAAATGATGATAGCTGCCTAGGATTACAATGAATCGTCATAAAATATGGAATTGATGTAGTTAAAGTTTGGTTGCAGCCTATTACTCTGAGGGGTTGTGAAAATAGCGCTGAAAAATTCACGAAAATGACTTGAATTGCTTAGAGATGGGCGAGTAATTTGTATGGATGTTAATGCACATCCATAAGTGAGAAGATTCTAACAGATTTGCTGACGTAGCATAACTAAAAGTTCTATTTCACATACCGTATAGTCTACACATGAGTTCATGAGACTTTAAAATCTTTCCCAAATCGAAAGAGCCTCCTCACGGACATGATTTTTATTCCATAAAAGACGTTTTTTCAGTGGGTATACGTAAGCAGTCCGAAGACATTAAAAAATAATTCTGTGCAAAGGAATAACAAATTTTCCGAGATAGGGAATCGCAGATATTGAGAAGCAAGAGAAACAAACTGGCCGCAAGAAGAGAGTTTTTAAAAGCAATGATGGAAAACAGAGAGAGAAAAACACAAAAGGAAATACAGTGCATTACATTTTAATGACCATCGTGCTTGTTTTCTTCTATTACCCCAAATGGCCATTGTTTGCTTTAAAAGTAACGTGACATTGATGATAATTAGCAGAAAGGAAACTTTTCGCCACTGTGTTGGTTATATTGATAATTAATCAGTGCAAGACCGATGATTTAAAATCTATTAAATTATTTCAGACATGGTGTAATTTAAGAAATTAAATTTCGAATTATAAAGAAGTGTGACATTGCCAGATTTCTATTTGAAAATGAAATTATATTTCAAAAATAAAACTATTATTTATTGCAAGGAATTTGCATCTCGGGTGTCAAATGTCACAAGTGGGTCACGAGACGCAGTTTATTTATACCTGGTACAGAGATCATCTAAAAATAAATTTTCACATAGACATCTAATATTTCGGGAAGCAGCATATATTAGAAGATTTTTGTAAGGATGATCAAAATTAATATCTCCTATTCATTTTGCCTTATGTTTAATTTTAATAAATTTTGCGATATCCTGTACTGAGAACTAGTTCATTATTCAGTACCTTAAAATTAGTTAAAAGAACGCATTGCTTCTCACCTTGCTCCAAGGTTCAGTCTTCCAGGATGAAGGACAGTCGAAGACATTGCAATTATCAGCAGCTTTCGGCGGTTGACCGGAACATTTAACGGATGTAACTTCTTGACCATCTGTCACTGAGATGCATTTCACTATTCGTGTTCGTATACCACCACCACATTCTCTGGAACATTCTCCGTATTCCGTTACGTTCCACTTATAACTGGAATGGAAAATAAACTATTATGTAGTTATTTCTGTGATTTTCAGTCTTGAAATTTGATTTTACATATGAGAAGGTTGTCACGAAGATATCTACCTAAAGACAAAGCGAAATTAGTTTGATTCATATATGGACTGAGGGAAACAAAATGGCTTTATTTACTTAATTAAGTTTACTTCCAATTAAAAGTTTTTTTAGAAAAAACGAACGTACTGAATCTGAGTAGTTTTTAGTTTTTTATTTTATTTATATTTGTAATATCTTTTCACCTATGTGTTGGAATAAAAAAGCACATTTTCAGTGTGGCTGTTCTATAGATATAAAGTCAGAGGCGGATTTATGAATCGCACAAGCTTCAGTCATATAGGACTGCGCATTCTCATTATATATGTATATATGGACCGAAAGATCAAATGTAAAAATTTTTAACCCTTAATGGCTTTTTTTTATTTATTACATTTGTGTTTTTAATTTGTACATACTCATTTGAAACTTTAGTAGCTATATATTTACATATATGAATATCTTTTAGATCTTCTATATAATGTTAACAGCATTGATTGCAACATTTGTTTAAAAAGCACTCTGACATACCTTACTGGACAAGGCTGATCGTTACACCTCTTGGTGAGGGCTTCAGGTTTTAGAGCAAGATTGCATAACTGAGGGGAGACTTCCACTTGATCCGGGAGACGGAGGCATCGAACAATAGACGTATGTATGCCTGCCAAAAGGAAAAAATTGCGCTGAAGCAAAATAGCAAAATATAACAGTTTAATATCAAAACTACTGGAAATTTCATGTTTACATTGTCTTAAAATCTTTCTAATATAGTGTAGGATGCTGTTTTATTCATCCAGCAGCTTAACAAAATAAGAGACTATAAATATAACAAAAACCTACAACTGCCGAATATTGCACACAAGGTTGGGAGCTTAATTATAGAGCTGCTCTAAATAGAAGTCTTGAAGTAAATCCAAAGATAATAATCGTAAAGCCAAAACTATTGGTCACTGCATCAATGTAACATGCAACCTTCATAATTCATCATCAAGCTCTTATTAAAAATTTTAACTTAATAATAAATATTAAAAATTAATTAAATATTAAAATTTCAGAATTATTTCTAGAATTTGCATCATTTTCTAATATTAATATTTTTACTTAACCGTTCCAAGGAAAAAAAAGCACAGGCTGGTTCTTTATAATACTGAGATACGCATCTCTCATTCATTCATCTAATGTTTCCAAGTACAAATAGTAGCTCTTTGAGTATCAGGGAATACCTCTTTTTGCATGTAAATAGTTCTTTAACGGTCAGACATGACAAAACACAGACATCTTCTTTAACACAATGGTAAATGCCTGTAAGGCTGGATTAATTGAAACTGTAACGCTAAATCGACAGATTTATTCAATAGAATTTCCATGCAGTACATTCTTACTGTAGAATTTGGCCGTCTGCCCTGAAACTTTATATTAATTCCACGGTGGACGTTAGACATCTCAAAAACAATTCCTCCCTCTTTATAATTTATGGTCGTCTATTGTGACTTTCCCTTGCATATATAATGTTACTAGTCCTCTTGAACTTATTAAACTGTCTCTACATGAAGACTTCTGCTTTTGTTAAGTCCATCAGAGCAGTGAAAAAGTAATATTTGGTTAGTAATAGCTAAATTCCAAGTAGTATAATACTGCTATACAGTAAAACATTCCATTCAGTCGTAAATGCTTGCATTTGAACTAAAACTTCATTCTTTTCTCTGTCACGAGGTATTACAGTTTTAATAAAAAGCTTCCATTCCAGCAAAGAAAACAACAATATAATGAATAATAAACCCTTCTGTACTAAATCGGTACAGAAGAAAAAGAAGTTTCCCAAAAGTCTTCCAAAGAAGGTAGAAAACCTTCTTTGGAAAGACAGTTAATTAGGTTTGCAGTTATTTATTTAATCGATATTATTTATTTTAATAATACTATAATTTCCCCATTATTTAATTACAATGCTCTTCATTATTTTATATTTACTTTAGAACGCATTACTCAGTTTTTTTCAGAAATTCAACTTTCGTAATGACGATAAAATATGGAAAATTTATGTAATTTGTTCTGTTTTAAAGCAAAGTCGATAACATATATCGTAATATACAACGGTTACAAGATATTATAATATTTGACTGAAGTTTATTTATTGCTTCAAAAGTGTTTTCACAAATTGGAATAAAACAGTAGTGTACATACTGTATAGGCTTGGTGCTTTATCCCAGTTCGTTAGCCCAGAAATGCTATTAATTTCGTTGTGGCATTTTGCGTTGGTTCAACTATAAGTGTCGGCTCACTTTTCATATCGTTGCCACTAAATATTATCGCCTTGTGTTATATTTAAAGAAATTAAATAATGAAGAATCTGCTTAAATGTATGTATGTTTCTCGCATTGTGATAAAACAACGGTACCTAGAGCCATCCAATTTTGAATGACGTAATCCTGCTCCGAATATGGGCATCTGAAAGGGCAAATTTGAAATTTGGAATTTGTTTTATGATCGATTTCATATTTTGTAACAATTAAAGGAATTTTTGATTAACAAACTCAACGATATCAAAGCGAGCAATGGCAATACCGTACGGGGGGGGGAGGAAATTATCTCCAGCGCGCAATCGGAAATTCTAAAGATATGCTCTTGCGATATTGCTGTTGAATTGAATTTTATGGGTTTAAGTGCGAAGGACATGATATTTAATAAATAAAGGTAGCACACCTAAATGTTATGAAACGCTCCTGTGGGCGTAATGCAAAATCTGAAAGCTTTCATATTTTCTTTTTAATTGCTTAACTTGATATACTTTTCTTTACAAATACTTATACATACTTTTTGAAAATATGCTGTTTTAGATTTGTCATCATAAAAACTTATTCTCACCCATTTAACGGTGGAAAGGGTTTAGTTTTAGTTCTCCACGAAAAAGAATTCTTTACATCCATGCGAGTGTCATGAATATGTATGCAGTATATATATAATATTTGTATAAAATCTAATTCTGCTTGAGTTTCATATAATCTCATTGTACGTGAAGCTTTGAGCTTCGAGGTTTATTAATGCAAATTACGCAGGGTCGAAAAAGCAGCTTAGTAGGTAATTCGGAAACCATATAATTCTTGCCTCGCATAAGGGTATAATCAGTTTTTCTCAATTTTTAATCTTATCAGGTGCGAAATAAGGTTCTTATCTTTCCACCTATTATCAGAGCTTTAAGTGAAACAGCTTTTACAGCGTCACTTTTTAGTGTCTAACATCCTTACAAAAAGACAGTGGTATATGGTTTCTTTTAATCTTATTAGGATGAAATTCAGTGTTGCGCCTTTTGATTCATTTTTAACAAAAAATGTCTCACTTAACTCATTATTCATATAAAATTTTCTTTCGTTTAGTAATACTGCTATTCCACGTGCTGTTCTAAAAATAACTTCAAATTCGGTTTTTAATAATATTTTGATAATCATAAGTTTGTTCCGTTTATCTCAAAAATAAATAAATAAATAATAGCAGTGAAATTTTAAAATGCATTTTCCGAAGCGATTTTATTCTTCAGTGCACCTGTAACGTAGCCAGGTTTTATTTATATCGGCCATTTGAAGTGGCTTAATTATTTCCTTTACTGATTGCTTTATTTTAAGATAAACATTTAGATTTTCATTCTTTCGCACAAGGGAAACTGAATTTACTGACGTCCTTGAAACTAAATATGCGCGCTTGAAAATAAAAAAATAATAAAACAATATCGAAGTCGTATCCGTAATTCTTGAAAGAAAAATACATAAAGTCTTATTTTAAATATTACGTAGCTCCAATAAAGAGTTCTATCTACCTAGATACAGTAGAACCTCCCTTATCCGGTAGCAATGGACCTCATCGATTCCTCATAAGATTTTTCCGGATAACGGAATATGTACTATTTCTAGAGTTTACTTATTTATGTTTTGGGATGCTATATGTAGAAATCGCATAAAAGGAAGTCTGTTGGTCGTTTTTTTTTTTCAATCTACTGGCCATAATTAAAATAATTTTTAATATTATTTAAAATTAAAACACGCACATATGATTTCATATTTCAGAAATCTACATTCAAACAACATTTTAAAATTACCATTGTATATTATCACATGAAAGTTTAAAGTTTCTTAGTGTGGTGATAAATAACTTTCAATGCTTGCCTTCTTATGAAATTTTCGCCCTTTCAAAATTCGCTCTATATACAATGAACTTCATAAGCTCATGAACTGACATAGATGATCATTTCTCGGCAAATCTTATGAAAATCTGCAATCCTTCGTCAGCTTCCTTCCACGTAACTGTCTTATTCTGCGTGTTTCATCCTTCCTAATTTTCCTAATTTTTTTTCAGTACATTTCCGACTACATGGACGGTTATCCAACATCTTGAGAGCGTGTGACAGGAACTTAATTGTCTATTTCCATCCAATCCTGCATCTCTTTGACAACAAGGTGGCACGCGAAATGTCATACCCTCTGTGCCGCATTTATCAATATTATCATAGAAATCAACATACATGCATTTATCAACATTATCATAGAAATATTATAAAATGAATGCACAGTTAACTCTTGAACATGAAAAATAAGTTTAGTGCAGAAAGTGCTTACTGTTTTGTTTCATAACCTCTTGCAAGTGATCCTTTGCAATTTTACCACCGTCCGGCTCACGTCTTCCAAAACTGCACGATAAGAACCTTGAACTGCGCTGCGTTTGCAAGTCTCCTTGAGAAATCTTTCAAAACTTTCGATAGAAAGAAATCGCATCGATTAATGACCGAAATATGAGGGGCCACTATCTCCAATTTCACTAACTTTCGTATGATTGGTGGACTTTGTCTTGCATGAACCACTAAGTGAGTAAATGGAGACCTGTTGTCATTTTCAGGGGCGCGTAGATTTGATGGGCTCCGTCGGCATTTCCAACACTACAATAATATCAGCAACTGGCGTCCTACAACATCAGCAACTGAAGTCAGTGATTTCTTACTGCTGATGCAATCTGTGAACTATATGTTTGGAGTGAGAGCATCTCGTAAGAAAATGCGCACCAAAATGTCTTTGTGTCATCACCAAACCCATGGTTTCTTCAAAAACATTACAACACTCGCCTTCTGTTTAATACTCTGTTAACAGTTATCGTTGCAAACTGCTGTTTCGCGGTACTGACTTCTTCTAACATCTGGGCCTTTTCTATGAACAAAAACACTCGAAAACGCATTTTTTAAAAGTCAATATATAATATTATGAGGTGGTTAATTGGTAAAGGATTTTGTCTGCCTCCCTGCATTACCGTTAATCGCAATCGGAATTCTTCTCAGGAAATAAAATGAAAGAAAGGAATGCTTCATAAGTAGGGTGTGAGGTTAACAACCTGAAAGTTTAATACAGATACATCAGAAGCCTTTACATTTTGCAAATATTTTGGAAAGATATTGAAATAAATATTTGATATCTCTTTTAACTCCTTCATTACTAAATATATAGTAATGGGAAAGCAATGTAAAATTCACCCCGTTTAGGTTTTTAAGGAAAAATTACACATGTCAGAGAAAATTGAGTATTTAGGTAGATATTTTCAATAACGAAAAAAAAATGGTTTATTGTTAAACTACAGAATCTGTAAATTTACTCCTTCAACATTATACGACGCGAACGTCTTGTTACATTTTCAGCAATGAAAACATTAAACACTTCAAAAAATATCATAAGAAAATTATATTTTTTCATAACAGCTTAAAGGTATCGATTTATTTTTCTTCACTGAAGTGAATCATAAATTTAATCGTTCATTAAATAAAGAAACACACATTTCTCTGTTTCAATCAAAGAAAGTTTTACCAAAGATATCGCCTATTTCCTCGCGCTTTTTTTCATAGAAAATAAAATAGTTTACCACATAATTTACTTACCTAAGTCCTTTCGCAAGGGAAATTCATTTCATTTAAAATTAATAATAGATATGAGAATATATAATGCGAGTTTTCATAAACATATATTAAGTATAATACCTTTGGAAAAAAGAAAACTTTCAGAATGTTAACATCTGGTAAGGCTGTACCCCTTATATCATTATTCTCACGAATTTTGCTTGATTCTTTCTTGAACCATATTATAAAATAATGATGTGTTATTTAATTGTATTAATGTTATTTAATAGGGTACCTGATTCATTAGCATTTAATTATCTTAAATGCGGTTAGGCAGCACAAAACAAACTTCTTACACGGAAAGTCTACTTTGTGCAGCCTAACTGTAATTTTAAATTTTATTATTTTTCTTTTTAGTCATTAATGGAACTTTCACGGTTATTCCGATTATCTCTGGAATGACTAAAAGTATTGTCAGATCTACAAACGATGTAAAAGTTTACCTCCTGAACAGGAAGCAGAACAAGGAGAGAATTTTTCAGTGTTCCAAGAGTAGAAGGATTTGTCTTTTTCTTCTTCTGTTTGGTCTACTACTGTTGTCACCTCTCTAGGAGGATAAGGAGGCGGGCAGGATATGGAACACGGTTCAAAGTCGATTGGTCGAGCATCTGCAAGTAAAATGTGACATTAAAAGCTAGATATATTCTGCAGACATTCACTGCTGTTTGTCAAGTTTGATTAAATTTGCAATCAAGCTCTCAGAACATTTAGTTGGTTTATAGTATCCTTAAAATAAAAGAAATATGTTTATGCATCATCTCGAATGACTTTTAATACTGGCATGACAAATGAAGTTAATTAAAAAAGAACCACAGTTAGCAAGAAGAACTGGTGTAATATAGATTCACACAATTCTTTCTTCGGCCACTAGTAAAAGAGGCTAGCAGCACACAATAAGAAGGTAAGGTCAAAGGATTCGAAAGGCATATTTCAAGTTTAGACATTACGCGAGATATTATCCTTTACTAGTTTATTTGGAAAAGTATTTTTTAATTCAGGTTATGCAATTTGAAGCAATATCAGAAAAAGCATTATGAAAAGGTTTCGTAAGCAGCATGTATGAAACACGCTTAAGATCCCTGTATCATAAGTAATTTACGATCTTGTCCCTCAAAATGTGCAAACATTTAATATGTCTGCGTTAGAATTACGCTAACTTAATTGCTTTATTGCGGTAATTTCCGTTAGGCTCAAAACGAAATATCTAACTATTCAATAATATTTCACGATAGAATAATAATCAGTATTATCAATCAGTCATCCAATAATATTTCATAGAAATATAGTCAACGAATTGTTTCAGTCATTGCATGTTTTTGTTTCCAGATATAATTGATAGCATCATTCAGACTTTTCTGTTAATTGTTCCCATTGATGGAATACTTTCTATAAGACATTAGCCACCAAAATTATTCAGTTTTGAAGGCTTTGTTAAAAAGTGAACATAATCATCCAAATGACTAAATCATTATTATAATGTTACGTTTTTTTTTTTTCCTGACACCAGTTGTTACGTTATTTTTTTCGTTCACGTTCGTACGGTTTCGTAGATTTGGAGTGAATAACGACGACAGCACTTGATGGAATATCGAAACACACTTTATTTACCAATATTAATCAGGACAGCTCCAAAACCCTTTTACAGTCTTCGAAGATCTACTATAAACACGCTAGAGCAATCAGTGACACAGTCTTCACACTGTCAGGCAATAACGGTGGAGACAGCTTCACTGCCAAGCACCAGAGTACAGTCCAGACTCTGCTCGGTTGTTCTCGGAACTCCACTTGCTCTCGAGACTTTCCACGCTACAACTCGCGATGCACTCCACGACACACAGAGCATAGCTTCCGACTCTTCGGTTCAGTCGTTCTCGAAGCTTAACACACTCTCTCGACGATGCACTAACCGCGATACACTAAAAGACTCTCTCGATGCACTCGATGACCAACTCGGCGCTAGACTTCGAGACACTCCCTCAATGACTGACTATCAGCTCTCTAGACGAGGCCCACTCGCTGCCCGGATACTCCGCACGGACTGACTAACTATCTCGCACTTACTCTCCGCAGGGTTTATATAGTTTTTGGCTTGTGTTCAAGAACATTCTGAGCTAAACCGGTAAGAATTCGTTCCATAAAGTTCTCCATCCGTCCATGGCATATCACCAATTTTGTCGCCAAATGGGCGATTTCTCGCCAAATGGGGCTACCCTTAACCTGCTTTGCGGGGAAGCTATCTTAACGCGCCTGTACATTTCGTAACGATATTATTATTAAATTTCTCACAACTTTACTTATATATTGATTACATCTAAAAACAAAATTATGCAATGAATCCGGGTTCACACTACTCACATAATTTAAAACTTTTTGAAGTGATTAGTATAAATAAAATATTAATTCATTATGAAATTTTCAATATGTTATTCACCTAATATGCAATTAAAGGAAAAATATAATATTGCTTTAAGTTAAAAATTGCAACGTTAGTGTATAAAAATAAATCAGTAGACAATTTTGGTAACATTAAATAGTTATTTTTTACATGCAATCTGAAGCTAAACATTCATTTATTGAAAGAAAGCATGATTAATGGTTAACACTTTACGAACTCAAATAAAAAGTGTCCCCAGTCTTGAAGGATAGATAATTACGAGGCATAAAAGTAAAACAATTATGTTACCAAATAAATAAATTAAAGTTTAAAAGTAAGTTGTTTAAATTTTTCATGTTATAGGTTAACTTTGTAATTAATTCGATTGCATAGCTGTCCATAATTACATTAAACATGTAGTAGCAGTTGCAGCAGTAGCGGTAGTAATAGTAGTAGTAGTAGAAGAAGAAGTAGTAGCAGTAATAATAATAAAAACATTTGAATTTTGCGTACGGAAAAACTGCCCCCCAAAAGGACACAATTTTCTTGATTTGGAAAGATTTTTGGAAATCATGATTACACTGAAAAAGATTAACGTACCTGTAAAATAATAAGTAATGAATCTGCTATTAAGGCACTAAATATCTATCATAATATTATAAAATTTAATCAAATTACATGCATTTTGAGAACAGAAACTCACCGATTTCATTAAAATACGAGAATAAATGAATCCTAGAAAATAATGGTTTTAAACACACAATTCAAAAAGATGATGGATGCTATCTTAAAGATTAAGTTAAAAAATATCGTAACCAATTTATTCAGGCTTCAGTATTTTACTTCAGCTTTATACATCTTTCTTTCTTGTTCGACTCTTCTATTTTTAATTAATCTTTTTCCAAGCTAAGGTACTTCAAATTTTTGTGCCTTTTTAAGCTGAATGGTTAATTACATTTGCATTCGAAGCGACCAATATCTCCTCAGGGAGCTCTGCTTTTTAAAATAATTTTTAAATTAGTTTTTTGCTAAACGGATGTAAAATAAATGCGTTAAGAATTTGAATCGTGCTTTTTCTTAAAACTGTTTTCCCTCTCGATTTTTTATTTTTGTTGATTAATTCAGAAAACGGGAGTCTTCTTTTTAATTCTCTTTGAATTTCATAAATCAAAGCGACTTTAGCGGATATAAAGTTGATTGATAAATTTCCTAGAAATTTTTACAATATTTTGCTTTGAAACAGTTAAAATAAAATAGCGGTTGGTGATAATGTAGCTGCAATTTCCAGCTTCCAAGTTTTACTCATCCAAACTTTAAACGATTTCACTGGAAAGGCAGCTTGGTGGAGACAAATGTTAAGCATTCCTTTGGTTATCATTTTTGTGATTATTATTACTATGCTGCAATTGGAATTTGAAATAAATATGCAATACTAACTTTTTATATCAATGCTAAAAGATGCTTTTCTTTCTCCCTTTGCCTTATTTATATAGCTATACGCTGATTTTGTTTTTCTGAATTTAATTACATCTCATTCAAAGTTTCATAACGCAAAATGACTGAAATAATGCTTTGCAAGCTGTTGCTCTACATTCGATATACGGCATTGCAATTGAGGATTACTTTTGAAATGTTTGCAATTTCTAAGTAGGTGCGTCCTTTACATGTTACAAAAAAAGGCACGCACAAAAATAAATCTTTAATAAGAAATACTCCTTGTAATGTTAAACTGAAGATTTATAGGGTTTTCCTTGATCAGGTAAAAGTTCGTCAGCCCAAAAGCGCTTCACAGACATGAAAAGAATCATTGATTGTCTGAAAGTAATCACATTTATTTTTTAGTCCAAAGGGGCTTCGTCTCTGAAGAATTATTGTTTTCGTTTTGGGATTTTGCGTCGATTCACTACAAACGGCGAATCACTTTTCAAAGTGTTGCCACAAAGTATTATCGCCCTGTGTTATATTTAAAGAAATTAAATAATGAAAAATCTGCATAAATGTATATATATTTCTCGCATTGTAATAAAACAACGGTACATAGAGTCATCGAATTTTGAATGACGTAATCCTCCTACGAATATGGGCATGTAGGACACCAAATTTGAAATTTGGAATTTGTTTTATTAATCGACTTCCTATTATGTAAAACTTTAACGAATTTTTGATTAACAAACTCAAGGTTTTCAAAGGGAGCAATGGCAAAGTTGTATAGAAAAAACGAGCCGCATAATTACAACGGAAAGCCGCATAATTACAACTTGTTGGCAGGAACTAAACATAGCGTGCACGCGCAGGTCAGAAACGCATTTTGTATTGCAATTCAAAAACACCAGTTTAAATACTGTTTAACCTCATTTATATTCTGGTGAGGAATCGGAAAGACGTGCAGTTTTAAATAACTGGTTAATTTAAATAATAACCTTACAGATTGTAAGGTGTAAGAATGTGTAAAATTAAATAAAACCTTTAACATAAATTTTCCTTTCGTACTGTAATAAACTAATATTTGCTACAAACTACAAATATTTGACTTCTGAAAAGGCAATACACAAGGTCTGCTGAATATGAAGTCCAAAGAACAACACTACTTAGTTCTCCCATCAGATCCTACAAAACAAATGTACGCTTTCAAGTCACATAAATTCACTCCTGATAATTTTCTCAGCATCTATACTCCTGGTGAAGTAGAATGCTTCGACTCCTTGTTGCACATTCTCATTTCTGATCTAAATAAGAATAGGGGAATGAAGAAATATGAATTCAATGGTCTGCATATGCACACAGGTTAATCCTTAGATCATTAGACGAAATTATTCTTTAGTGCAATATCTATATATTCTTAAAGTTTTTCCATGCTTGGAGTAATTTCTGGAAGTTCCAAAACAGGCTGAAAAACAAATGCGAAACGTTTTTTTCTTTTGACATTCAAACTCAGAATGCTCTCAAAAAGATATCTTTAAACTGCTGTTTGTGGACCTTGATCCATGTATGTTGTTTCAAACTGCAATTTTATTTATTGCTTTGTAATCTTTTAAACAGGATCATCTCGGGAAATTAAAATCTGTAAAATTTGTTTCCAAGCGGAGTAGCCTTTCTAACATTTTGCTTTACTTGAGAAATTGGTAGAAGAAAGCTTTCAATTAGTAAGCTTTTCTTTTTCGTAATGTACACCAGTGTTCAGAGAAAGTGCAACCACAAGTAAAATTATACGATAGAACCTGAGATATGGCGCACGGATTAATTTTCATGAGAGATGCGAACGATTAACCAACTGACGAATTTCGAAAGAGAAAGAACGGCAAAGTTGACAGAAGGTGGTTTCTCGGACCGAGAACCAAAATAAAGTTTTAAAAACTGCTGACTATTTACTCGATTATAAAGCAAACGAAGCGTTAAAATGACTTTCATTTTCTTCATAAAATTCTTTGACATAGTGATAAATTTTGAAGTTTTGATAATTAATTTTTGGACTACTAAAACATGACACAAAGCATAAAAATTTAGCGAGACTTCACCGACGTTTTACGTGGATATGAATTGGAAAAGGGCCAAAATATGCCAGTTCTACTCCTTTTTCCTCTTGAGACAAACAAAATTGTTTTTTCCTTAGTACTTAATTTAAATTCATCTGGAAAAATATTTTCTGAATTTCATGAAGATGGCGAGTTTACGATTCTTGTAATATATTTTGTAAGTTACTAATTTCTTTTATAAGTAAGGCAAGTGTTTGGCAGCACAAAATGCTCACCGTACAAATATTGTACTATAATCTATTCCTGTTTTCAGAAAAAATAAATTATCTTTAAATTAGAAATATGTATGCAAGATCTCAGAAATTATTGGAATTTACTAACCTGTACATTCGGAATCTGGCAGCCTAGCCGCAGTCCGGGAAACTTCTAGAAAAATTTGGCAGTGAACTATCCTCCTTCTGAAACCCTCTCCATTGCATCGGCTCCAGGGTCCCACGAAGTAGAAAGATTTTGTAGTAGAGGATAGACTGAAATTGTTATAGTATAAATTACAAAGAAAGCACATTTATTGGAAAGCATTGTAATAAGTTACTAAGTGGAAATATATTGTCAATACTTTATGCTAACTTCCTTGCCGCAGAAAGTAATACTTATAATTTAATGAGTATTTCAGATATCGTTTTCATAAGGCCAACATTTCAAGATGGAAAACTGTATGAGGTTTTTTCCACTGCAAGCCAGCTGGAGATTAGAACGCAGGGAAAATATGCAAGAACATTTTTCTTACCTATTTGCTACCCATTTCATAGTTGGAGTTTTAAGTTTGTAGTTTATTTTCTTGTTATGGATATGCTTGTGTATATGCGTTCCTTCTCAGTAGTAATTTTGTTCAAATTGCTGTTTTTTGTTAAATTTCTATTTGTCATTTCCGGAATTTTCTGCCATTTCCTTTTCCTGCTTTTAGAAACCTTTCTACTATGAATTTAATTCGAATTAAATTTTCCTTAAACTTACCTCTCGTATTTAAACATTTAACTCTTAATCGATTTATTTTTAATATATTAACATGTTTTATTCCATGTTCTTTATTTTTCTCTTTCAGTCAGGAAAAGTTCACGCTGGTGAACGAAGGAAAAGGTACAGAAACTGGTTGTCAAAATTAAATAAGATAGATGCCAAATATATAAGCAGAACTCTTTAAGTACTGAAGTTCCCAGATTCTATGAAATTAAAAATGCTATTGTATGTTATAGTCTAATTTGTCAGTTTATTAGGCTATAGCTTTCTTATTAACACATATCAGTTATAGAAAAAATGTAAATTCAAGCTTCGTCATTACAATCTTCAGAAGATGAAATCATAAATGTTAGAAAAAGTAGTTTGCTTCTAAGATTAAAAGATATAAAACTTGTACAAAAAAGGAAAAAAGAAACACGCAGCCGCTGTATCTGATTTGTACACTTCCGGTTAACCGGCCTGTACGGGGGACAGTATTTTGGTCGAACATACAAAAATAAGTTTAAAAGGTTTTTTAGTGATATTAAAGTACTCAGTATCGTCATTGCACATAAATATTTATTAAAAATTTATTCATTTAGTTAAAATGAATTCCTTTTTTTTTTTTTTATTTCAATTTTTGTTTGCGTCAAACTCACACCACTTTTTTCTACAGGTATTCAGTGCTAATGGCAAAAGAATAATTTTGTTCTTCGATATATCTGATCGTTTATTTAATGTTTAATATGCTCCGTTTTCGCCTATTTGAAAGCTTTAAATTAATTTTAAACAGAGAAACGGCATTAGCTAGGGAAAAGAAAACTATAATAATTTAATGCACATGTTTTGAAAAACAGCTAATTGAAACATGAGCTCAAAACTTTCAGAACTAACTTGAATTACGAACTATTTGGAACTCTAAAACTCAAAAACCTTCAAAACTAATTTAATTGTTTCGAGGAACAATGCATTGTACTCAGAGAATATTTGGAATAATAAATTTTCCTTTAGATAAACGATTTAAGTTACTGAGAAAGCGAAGTTTATAATTGATCTATGGATTATACATAGTGAATTAGATATTATACGTAGTAATAAAATTATAAAAAATTTTGAGTACTACTCTTATATACTCACTCAGATGTATGGCATCGCCAAATGTGGCGATATGCGTTCTGCAATGGTTTATGGCGCGAATGTGTGTTCTGCGATGGTTTTTGGTGGGATGTTGTTTGTATGGCAACACTTTGAAACTTGATTTTGCTGGAGTGTTTTTATTTGCTGGTTGGTGGTTTGGTGGGCGTTTTGAAATGGCTTATGTTGCGATGATAGACGTGGTGGCAAAATTTCAGTCCCGTATTTTGGATTGTGTGCAAGATAAATTTAGTATTAAGAGATACGGGTGAAATTTTATTCACGAATGTATGCTGGATTTTGTATGCGCTGTGTCTCAGAAGATAGGGGGTTGAAGGATAAAGTGGTGGAAATTGATGAGTTTTGCTGATGTTTGAAACTGATATTCCTGCTGTTTGAAGAAGCATTCACAATGGTAAGTACTTTTATTATGGATTTTATTCTTATTTTTATTATGCATTTTATTCTTATTTTTATTATGCATTTTATTATGCATTTTATTATTATTTTTATTATGCATTTTATTATTACTTTTATTATGCATTTTATTATTATTTTTATTATGTTAGGCGAGATGATCTTGACAACTATGTGATTCTTGACGGTAGCCGCGAAACGGAACGGGTTACCGTTGAAAAACGAAATGAGTAAATAAAAACATATTTTGGAAATAAAATAAAAACGAAAAATAAATAAAAACAAATAAATATAAACAAAAAGTAAATAAAAACATATTTTGGAGTTTTAAAAAATGTATTAAATTCTAATAGTTTATATCCTCTTTTGTACATAGCATATACTGCTTTGAGTACGTACCATATATTCCTTTTGTTTAGATTATGTACCTCTTTTGTGTGTATTGTATCAGCACAGGTCTGCACAAAGAGAGATAACTAATACTTTTATGCTTGTTATCTCCCTTTTGCATAGACCTGAGCGATCTACATTTTGGAAAGCGTGATAATAACAACAACAAAAAGTCAGCATTTTGACATATCATTACTTTGCGGGAGCTTGAGTAAGAATTATAGGAGGTTCAGTTTCCGTTGATGGTTCTTCAGTCAGTGTAGATGAAGGCTCAGCTTCTGTACTGTGGACGGGAATACCTGTAAAAACAAAAGCGTGTTAAAAGAGGCAATTTTACAATGCACACATTTTCAATGGAGTTTGTATATGAAGAAAATTACATAAAAACTGAAAGCAGGAGGAATTCTCAAAATTTTTATAAGTGAAGTTCGATGATTGTAAGGTTGGATTATTTGAAGAACTAGTCCTCATTTTTCTGATCTTTACTTCTCGTTTCAACACATTTGAACAACAAGATGTGAATTTATCGCGTATTTAAGAAGGCGCAACTGCCGTGGAAGTTGGAGATCAAGAGAGATTATAGCTAACGAGGAAATAAATGTGCTCCATGTTTGGAGATATCTGCGATACGACCTTACTATTTGTTACGACTCTGCGATACGATCTTACTACATTATTTTTTTAACTACCTATCGTAAGTAAGTTAAATTAAAGAGCAGGTATAGCCAAACTGCGGATCTTCGACACCGTAACAACGGCTAGTTTGGCGGACTTCCGCCTTCTGAAATGTGACTTGTTTGCAATAAGTAGTAACTTAATTTTTGAAATATAAATGAAATTTAAAATAGAAATCATGCGGTGACACTTTTCTTTATTAATCGCTATTTTAATTATTGAATTATATTATGTATGTAATAATTTAATCGATTTCAAACTCTTCACTGCAACCTTGTTGTCAGAGTGGCAAATAAAATTGCAAATAATTCTACTTCTGGCGATTACTATTCCGACCATGCTACTTTTTGTGGGAATAGCGCAAAATATACAAATAGGCAGTAAATTTTAAAAATAATGCTCATTATTTTTTTTCTCTGAGATTAACTTTATTTCAGGCAGATTCTGCTTCCATTTCTCCTGTGTGATTCCATTCTTCACAACAGTGGTGATCCACTCGGAAGACTTTCTGTTCTTTGCCCGATACTACTTTTCTTCAGTCTTTCAATGGCTTGCATAGCTGTTGAAGAAACTTCTTTCGCCTTGAAGTCCGCTCAGGACTCTTTCAATTTGGGAAAGAATTTTAACTCCGAGGATTTTATAGTTGGGGAAGTGTAACTTCGTTCTCGTACTTAGTTAGAGGATTAATTCCCCATCCCTAAGCAAGTCAGATTTTGTTTACGTATCTCCTTCACATGCTTCGCAACCACCCATAGTAAAATTCTGCAATGAATAATTTTTAGACATAAAACTTGTAATCTTTCGTAATAATTCCTTGGTAATCCTAGGCAAAGGTCATAATTTACTTCACGAATCGTTGTGCATGCTGAAATATTTGTGAGGTCGCTGGGAGAATCACTAGAATGGTAGTGATTTCAATTTTGGTCAAACATTTTAATTCATATTTTATCAGCTGTTGTAAGAGATAAAAATCATTCACTTTCCATCATCAAATGTTCAGACTATATTCGGAGGCGTCAATAAGCAGAACAAGGTCCCTTTGTTTTAGGCTGCATTGAAGATGACGAAGAACGAACCTCTTTGGAACGAACCGAAAAAACGGTTAAAATCTTAAACAAACCTCTTTGGAAGATGGAATGAATGGGACACAAACCATTAGTTTTTTTTCTTCTGTTACATCCCACCTCGTGAAACTTCCGTCCAGCAGTAGAACGGCTGATTTGAGTACCAGTGGCAACTTAAATTACATCTCTTGTAGTTTTTCCACTGTTCCTTCGACAATCGATGACATAAAATGGTCTTTGAATGCAATTGGTGCTCTAAACTTCCTAAGCTGTCTACTAATAGATTCATTGCGTAAAAGGTTGCTGCATATTATTGATATAACACGTTGAGGCATATTTAGAGCCTTGAACGATCTCTCTTTGTGTTCATCTTCCCCTCGACTCTACCAGTTAACTACCACTTTTGCCATTTATCTTGAATTATGCTTTTGATTTATAACTAATGAATACTCATCTTTTTCAGAAACCATACTAACGCTAAACAACACTTCATACCCGAATTCTAACAAGAATCCATAGCGCAATATGTTATCAGTCACTAATTTGCATATTTAATGAGCAAACCTAGGCTTAGAAGTCCAATTTTGAGTTCAACTGCAATTAATTAACATAAAAATTTTATACTATTGGACATTAGGTAAAAGCAGCGAGTGTAGGTGTTTTTAGATTACGCTTTAATTTTGAAGAACAATGTGTAAAAGCAGCCAAATAAGTCTAGATAAGATGTAAAATGCAGCCCATTTGCGATATAATAAGAAAATGTGGTTTAAAAGGTAAATCATGAAATATTTAAAATCAACCTTTGCGTAACTCTATATCAAGAGTCCCCAACCTTATTTGTCCCTAAGAGAGCACATTCTAGAATAGGCGTTGGACGGCGGGCACCGTTTACGTTTTCAAGGTGAATTTATGGTTGGATAGAGTTAATAATATATGCACATAAAAAAAGAGATCGGTCGCATTTCGTTTTGTGCTGGTATCTGTGTTGGATGTAATTTCTTAACGTAACATTTTTATTGCGATCGCACAGCGATGGGCACACGTTAAACGATCGGCGGGCGCCGTGTTGCCCGCGGGTATGTGGTTGGGAAACCCTACTCTGTATCATTCTGTAGATGCATAGATAGTTCTAGAGTCAGACTAATGGCAGATGCTGTCAGAAATATTAATTTCTTTCGTATGTAGATTTTTTAAATTCCCGTTCAGTTGCAATATATGCGTTCAGTTGCATATACTGTAAATAGATCAGTACTATAGTTAATACCACAGTTCTGCACAAAGGTATTGTAGTTAAATTTAGAATAACTATTCTTATATATCTCACATCTACATCAAAATAAATATAAATAGCACTTTATGGAAAATGAGAGATTTCAGTAAAGACCAAATGTAATAAGACATTTGTTTTTTCTCCCTCACAGGAACGATAAATTTTTCTTCAGGTAAACAATCTACGTTATCGAAAAACTGAAGTTTATAAATAAGATGTGGATTATATATAATAAACTACGTATTACATGTAGCGCTAAAATTATCAATAATTTTGAACATTAGTGAATACTTCTGTTAAACCTTTTGATTTTTAATTAGAATTAATTGCATATATTTAGTTATCTCTAAAGACATATTATTACTAGAAATTCAATGTGTTTGTAGCTCAGAGCTCTCTATATAACGAGAATGAATAAAGTAACCTATAAGACCTAGGTTTTTATTCAAATCTGAATCCGCTAATTGTATCGCATTGCCCAAAATACACTCATGTCCATAAATTAAGGATAATTCGGAGTCACGCGGAAATAGAACTCTAAAATAAATATATCACCTGTAAAATCACTACACACATCTTCAAGAATCATATGCAAATTTCAGGAAGTAACCAGATGACACCGATGGTACGTCACAATGACGAGAGTGTAAGAGAGTGATATATAAGGAATACAGGCAAAGAAGTAAAATTGTTCTCAGGCGCTTTATAAGCATTTCAGTGCAATAACCGAATAGTTATGACGCAAAGACGCATTTGGATGATTTTTTACGTGGTAGAATTATCAGCCGTCTGGAATGTGGGCGTACCCAACTGGAAGTATCAGACGAACTTGGAATTGCCCAAAGTGTCATCTCCAGGCTTTGGCATCGATTCCAAGATGATAGTAATGTGAGTAGACGTTACAGCACAGGTCGCCCCAGAGTTACAACGCCGAATGAGGACCGGTATTTGGCAGTTACTGCCAAAAGAAACAGGCGGAGCACAGCCTCAGACGTGTCTCGTCAGCTCTCTTCAGCCACTGGTACGACAATTTCAAGGCAGACCGTGTACAGACGCTTAGGGCAGATTGGTCTATATGCTCATAGACCTGTCAGATGCGTTCCACTTACTGCAACTCACTGTCGCCTGCGGTTAGCCTGGAGTAGAGAGCATGCATTGAGGACACCGTAACAGTGGGCTTGTGTGGTGTTTTACGACGAGTCCAGGTTTAGCTTGCAGTCTGATTCTCGCCGGACTTTCATATGGAGAGTTCCAGGTACCCGTTACCACCAAGAAAACATCATCGAACGACACCGTACGGTGGTGCAGGAGTGCTCGTTTGGGGTGGAATTATTCTGGGTTCTAGAACTGACCTGCATGTTCAGATTGGAAACATGACAAGCCAAATCTATCGGGACGTCATTCTGGAACAAAATGTATGTTTGTTTCGGGGCGCCATGGGCGCACAATTTGTGTTTATGGATGACAACACCCGTCCTCACCGTGCAAACATCGTAAGCGAATGCCTTCAATAGGAGGATATCACCCGTATGGACTGGCCAGTATTCTCACCGGACTTGAATCCAGTAGAGCACTTGTGGGACATGCTTCGCCGACGAGTTGCAGCCCGTCAACCTCCTACTACATGTCTACTGGAACTTCGGAGAGAATTGCTTTTTGAGTGGTGTAATTTCCCCCAAGATCAGATCGATAATTTGATACTCAGCATGCCTAGGCGTTGTACGGACTGTATTACATCGTCTGGGAGACATACAATGTATTAACAATCATACCAACCATGTAATATTGGTTTTTTGTAAATAGGTTTTTTTTTTTTTTTTTTTTTTTTTTTTTTTAAATTTGCTCCAGGGAGAAAAAATGGCTAATTTTTTTAATAATATCAAACATATAGCATCTTTTTTTGCTCTTTACCTTTTGTTTAATAAATAAGCTTTACAAATAAGTCAAATTTGTTTTGCTTCTAACTCTTCCTTTGCCTGATTTTGCATTATCCTTAATTTATAGACATGAGTGTATTTTATATTGTTTAGAACTATTGATTGTTATTGAAAATTCTGATTTTCAATAACAAATTAAATTCTGAAAAATCAGCTTTCGTTGAGTTAAAGATTGTTGCACAAAGGTTGCTGAATGCGTGTACCGCGGAATATACAAAACTGAAGTTCACGCAATGAGAATTCTTAATTGAGTATATAGGTAATTAATTCCAATAAACAAGACCATGAGTTAATTGAGACAGTTTTTCGTTTGAGATAAAGCGTCGTAAATCAGTTTTAACAGATAAAAAGAA